GGTTTTACTGTGGAATCAAAGTTAAGTAGGCAAAAATGATTGGCAGTTGTTGGTTGCAGTCTCCTCCTTGTTCTCACTCTTTTTTTTAATGTTGCCAACCCCTTTCCTGGGTTGGGCCTTCTAGCCCACTAAATAATGTAACTCCTAGCCTTTTCTTTTATGGGCAACCCAATGCAAGCCATTTCAGCAATTTAATTCTTCGGTAATAGACTTCTGAAGTCATTTCCTGGATAAGTTCTCTGCTGCCATAACATTTGGAGAATTGTTTTTTAGAATTCATAGTGCTATCTTCAGAATGCCAAATTTGTCCCAGCTGCTGTGCTTTTGTATATACATAAGTAGCCACCCTATTTATGCAATAGGGCCCTTGAAGACGGTCTGGATACTTCAGTAGGTCCAGAATAAGAGCTGCCAGGATATTACAGGACTAGCAGGTATTTGCATATAATGTTGGTCCTTTATCACTTACACTGGCTGCCAGTGGCAGTCCAGGCCCAATTTAAGGTGCTGGTGATTACCTATAAAGCCCTAAATGGCTTGGGTCCTGGATACCTGAAGGAATGTCTCCTTCCCTGTATGCCTTCCTGCCCCTTGAGATCTAAGGTGGAGGTCCTGCTCCGGGAGCCCTCCCTGAAGGAGATTAGGAAGGTGGTTGCCCAGAGGAGGGCCTTCTTTGTGGTGGCACCTCAGTTATGGAATATGCTCCCCAGAGAGGTTCACCTGGCACCAATGCTTTTTTCTTTTTGGCGCCAGGCAAAAACCTTTTTATTTTCCTGTTATTTTAATGTTCAGTTGTTTTTAATGTGTTTTCTATTATTACTGCATGCTGTGCCATTTTAATTTCTATTTTACTTGTCGCATGTTGTAAACCGTCCTGAGATGCTAGTAGAGGGACAGTCTATAAAAACTTTAAATAAAATAAATGAACCGGGAGAGCATTAAATACTAACAATGTGGCATAGTGGATAGGAGTGGAGGACTGGGACTCAGCAGATCTGAATTCTAGTCCCCTCTCAGCCATGGACCTCACTGGGTGACACAAGGCAGCTGGAGATTCTCAGCCTAACCTACCTCACAGGGCTGTTGTCGTAGGGATAAGATTGAGAGATGGAAGAGAATTGTGCGAGCTGTGTTGAGTTTATCGGAAGGGGAAAAGGCAGGATATAAATATATTAAATAAAACGGATGGTGACTGCTGCCCAGTTTGTAGTTGAGGGAAATGAAGAAATACATTTCTGGGCTTCAGTTAATTTCAGGCAAATATGCAGGAAATTTCACGTGGGTGAAGTCCTGCAGGCCTGCTGAAGGCTCGACTGCTTTATTTGAGCAACAGCATCACACCACAAAGCTCTCAGGAACGATTAGTGGTGTACGTGGAAGTTTGTTTTTGGCGAAGCCTTCTCTGTGTTTTACAAGCTCTTCACATCTGAGCTGAGAGCAGGATTGTCAAGGCAGAAGCCTGCTGCTTTTTGTCTCATGCTGCCTCAAGTCGTATTTCCTTTTCCTGTTATGCTTTAGTTCTGGGATGGATGTCACATGCCTCCTTGGTGTGAGCATCAGAGTATTTGTGTTTGCTGTGGAATGCAGATGTTTCTCATTGAAGTGCTGAATCAGATAATGGAAGCATGTTTTGTATTGTTTTCTAAACATATTTTCTTGAGAGTAGTGGGCCAGTGCAACCGAAGGGAAAGAGTTAAGCTGCCTGAGAAAAGAGTGCTTTAAAAATACCTTTTGCAAAGGCCTATTTAATCTAGTGTGGGCTACTTGAAGTGACCTAATCCAAAAATAGCTGGCAGGCCGTCTTGTCTTGGAGTGTTTGCTGCTGAAGAATGGCAGGTGATAATCTCCTGGCTTTATGAAAGGCCTTGCTCGGTTAAAATTTGGACAGGAGAAAATCAAATTTAGGTGGTGCTTGCTTTTTCAGATGTACTTTGTGCCAAAATTATTTCTTTTTACCATAAATGTCTGCAGAAGCTGAATTATATGCACTTGCCAGTATCGTGAAAGAAAGAAAGACAGAAAGAAAGGCCTGCATATTAGCCTTGACAAGGAAAGACCATTTCCTGGGGAGATACTGCTTTGGTTTGCTAATGCTTGAATCACTCTAACCAGACATCTCCATGTAATGGGCCAGATGCAAAGGTGGTGATGGAAAGCTCAGCCAGGGGCTTCCATACTGCCATCCTCGAGTTCCTGGGAAGCAGGATTGTATGGCCTCAACAGGGAAGAGCAACCTGAAGGCGAATAGCATTAAAATAAAAGTTTGCTTGTTTGTTATGGTCATAGACCAGCAAAAGCCAATGTGGGCCAGCATAACAGATTAAACAATGTTATTTCATTACCCCAATTAAAACAACAATTTAAAATGAATTAAAAGACAGAGAGGCAAGTAACAGACAGCAAAAACTGAAACAACCTAGGTGGCATATCTGAAACACATAATGTCACAAATATGTACAAAATGGTAATACTTAATTAAAACTTTGTTGCAATTGCTGCAGATGTGCCCAGCTGCACATCTCAGAGCCTTTTGTGGCAGCCACCTGTGGTTCTGCTCCCTAAATAGTTGTCCTACAGTTTCCTTGTGGTTGGCATCGTTGACACTTCGAGAGGTGTTGTTCTCAAATTTTGTGCTGCACATCTCGAACAGAAAGTCAGTTAGAAACACTGTAATAACCAGCCCTGTGGTTCGGTCAGGAAAGGATGTGTAATTCAGACTTTCTGTGGGGAGGGTGCAGCTTCAGTTTTGTCATCTCTTCAACCTGTTGTGGTTCTGCTTTCCAGGATATCCATCTTGTGACTGCCCTTCATAATATGTGAACATGTCTCCCAACCCAACCACAACTGTGCATGAGACGATGTTTTTCTTTCACTGTGTTAGTTTGAAGGAATTGTGCTTTTCTTGCATCTGGTTACCCACCATTTTAGTTGCTGACAAATAATAAAGCGACTCCTGTGCATTCATGAGGGAAGGCGAGTCATTGCAGCCACATCATTTCCAGGGAGTTAGTTTTATTTTCTTTCCCCAGCCCCCTTATTGTGTGTTTCATTGTCTGTCATCTTTGTAGGTTGATAAATGTACCTTTTCATATGGGATAGGTGTGGGGAGAGATGCTCTTTCAACATAGATAGATGGGTTATCAATTATATGTCCTTAAACTATTGAAGAACAGCAAACTTGTGTGACCTCAAAATGACCCTCCTTAAAAGGGTTGTGGAGAATTCATTAACTTGTGTGTAATTAACTTTGCCAAGAAAATGCTTTTTCTGAAGGTGGTGATTGCGAGGAAGGGGTCTGATACCGAACAAAATTGGTGGGCAGGTTTCTGTGGGAAAAGACAGTCCTATGGATAAATGAAATGGCAATGTTTGTTTTTCTCTATTCCATTACTCGGAAACAATGGCAGCATTGTTCCCAGTATTAGGTTTTGGTAGCGTTGCCCATTTTAATCTATCCCCACATATCAGTTGGAACCTAGTTAAGGCATTGTAGAAATATAAAATGTTTATATTTTATGCTGCTGGCTGTCATTTCATGGCAGATCAGATGGCGATGCTGTGTTGTTGGTAGGATGAGCTAGTCATCTGTTGGGCTTGAGGGCGGAGAGCGTTCCTCCATGAGTCACGATCATGTTGTGTAGACTCAAAGGGAAGGGCCTGTATCACACAAGACGCGTGGAATGCTTCCCAGCAGCCCAGAAGCATGCGGACTGGCAGATTTCTTCCGCAAACTCTGCACTTGCTTTTCAGGCTGCATTAATATGCCAGACAGACGTTGTGTCTGCTCTGAGTTTCTGCAGTCTTCAGCCATCTGATGCAGCTTCTCTGACCTGACATCATGAATAATGCTTGAACGTTTTGCTGTCCCCGAAGTATGTCATTCCTGTGTGCTTAAATGGATACACTTTGGCTGTCGAATAATACAGGCCTCTGAAAGTGGTGCTTACAATGTATGCTAAGAACTGACTTGCGCATGGCAATGAGGCTTCACCTGTTTCTCACAGCATCTCAGTAGGGATTTGCCTTACTCTAAAGTTAAAAAATATAGATTTATTGTAGGTTTTCTACTAATTGTGCCTATAACTGCTTCCTGAGCTCAGAATTACCTTCATGTTCCCACATACTCTGTGAATGACAATTGAACTGATGACCGTGTCTTAGTTATATAGGCACCAGAGGGTGGACAGGTAGATCGTGGAGAAGTGCCTAGTGTGGCAAACTAACTCAAACTCCCAGACGTGTTTAAAAAGCCAACTTCTTCAATATAGACCCTAGCACAACTATAATACTCTTTGCCATTTTACAGTATTTTGACAGTGTCCGTATTTAGAGTGTGGTGCACACTTTTGGCTTCCCCTCATGGAGGCAGTGTTAAAGGTAGAGATGGAAGAGGTATGGAAAAGGAGCAGCTGATGTGATCAGGAAGGGGAACAGCATTATTTCCAGAAAACTGACTTCAGTCTTTCAGGCTCAGAGGGGAGAAGATGAGGCTGTGAGTAATACAGACTGGCACTGATTCTCAGAACTCAGGTGCTGGGGTGCCTATACAGCCATTGAAACGGATAAAAAGCAGGGCTAAAGCAACGAAGTAAATTCTTCATGCAAAATGTAATGCATCAGCGGTGACCAGTGCCATCGGATGGGATGATGCTCATTAGCAGAAAGGGGCAGATCAGTCTTGAATAAATCAGTGCAGGGAGCCATAAGAGCAGACAAGTAGAGGGAAGTCCACGCAGGTGAGGGGGCGGGCTGGCGGTGGAGGGACGCGGTGCCTCCTCTGCAGCAAGCGCAGAAACCAAGCGTGCCCTTCTCTTGGGTTGTTCGGAGCAGCACCCATGGGGGCACCCCCCCTTGATCCTCCCAGTGCTTTTGTGAGGTTGGTCAGACTGGGGAATGTACTTGCTCCAAGGTTAACTCCCTCCCCATTGCACAGTGCTGGCATTACCAAGGTTACATGCTGACTTCACTCCATACCCTAAATGTGCTTTTCTTCTTTCCAGGTTGATGCAAAATGGGCGACCAGAGGCAGAGGTCCTTGTCTACATCTGGGGAATCATTGTACCATGTTCTAGGACTGGACAAGAATGCCACCTCCGATGATATTAAAAAATCATACCGGTAAGGTGGCAAAAAGTTCATTCTGATTGCAGTTTGCTTGCTTAGAATGGGTGAATAACATGGTTTACCACAGTGTATGTTTTTGGTATTTGCGAGCTTCCTTCTTCATCGGTGTACTGAACACTTTGGATGACAAGAATTACTGTACTCAGCTTGGCTTATTTAAAACATAACCTCTCAGGTGATAGCTTCCATTTCAGTTTTAAACACATGGTAATGGGAATCCACCCCAAGGTCCTTGGTCAGAATAATGTTGCCATGATTAATACAGAAAGCATAAGAAGAGCTGTGCAGGATCAGACCAAAAGGCTGCCTGGTCTAGCATTTTGGTCACACAGCAGCCAACCAGGTATCCTGAAGGGAAGGCACCAGCAGGAAGGGTGTGTGAAAGTCCCCTTCTACCCATCTTCCCCCACACCTGGACACCCCCACTCCCTGAAGTGTTTGCAATTCTGGTTTAAGAAAAATGGTAAAATTAAATGGTGGTGGCAAAACAGCCTGCTTAATAATGTTTGCCTCGTGACTGAATTCATTTATTTCTGTCATTTCACAAAATGTAAGAAAGAGGATGAAAATATGAATTAGGTTCATTTGCATGTTAAGCATATTTTAATATAATTGTCCCTCCTCCCCCCCCCCCCCCCCCCACATCTTTGGGTACTTGAGTTATCTTAACTCAAACTCTGCTAATCAGTTCTTGTAAACAGGATTAGAGCTTTCTGTTCACCTCTCCATGTACCTGTTAGATTCCTATCTCTGGAGGGTAAACAAAGGCTTTGTAAAGAACTTAGCTGAAGTTTAACTTGGTTAAGCTATTCTCACAACATTTATTATCTTAAGGAGAACATGTAGTGCTCCTGTGAAGCTTTTCCTTGCCCTGATTTTGAGATTTAACATGTCTTTTCTCTAAAATTTAAAAAATAATGAGGTGATCTGGGATTGGACAGGGTCATTAGCTAGTTGTTTGGTCATAAATAGAGCAGTTATATTGGAAAGTCAAAGAAAGTATCTTCACATGTGACCTACATTCATGTATTTTGGTTTAAAACTTAGTAGAAAATGGATTCTTTGGAATGTTTTATTTTTTAAAGTTATAGGTTGAACTTCAGATAGTCCCCTGCTTGGGAGTCAGAACCAGAGACATTGTGGTTTCTATAACCTGGAGGTTATTCTGTGATTATGCAAATGGCTCTCTTGTTTTTATGGCTTCTTGAGGTGACACTGAGATGGTGAGAGCAACTATTGCACATACCGAGAACCAGTGTGGTATAGTGTATTTGAGTGGATTCTATTCCCCACTCAGCCATGGAGCCAACTGGGTGACTTTGGGCCAGTCACAGACTCCCAGCCCAGCCTACTTCACAGGGTTGTTGTTGTGGGGATAAGCCTTAGAGCAGCAGGAGCAGTATGATGTAAGCTGCTTTGAGTTCATTGGGAAAAAGTGAGATAGAACTCTAATAAATATTTTTCCTAGCTAGTATTTTATCCAAGCTAATGATATTTTAAAATATAAACATTGTGAAAATTAAAATAGCATGAAGGTTCCTTCATCCAAACCTTTTTCACTCTTGGGTCAGGAAGGGAACTCACTTTGACATCTGTCTTCTTTTGGGGTATCTCAGAAATATCATCTGGGGAACAGATTTTTAAATGCTTACCAAGCGATTTCTTTATGTATTTATTTGCTTGTTGCTGTTATACTTTTGTGTATTTTGTTGCACATGATCTGTATTCTCATGACTCCTGAATATCATTTGTTCTTTGATGAAATAATATTTTTTGAAGACCTTCTCTGACTTTAAAAAGATACTTACTAATTGTCCATTGAAATACTTGTTGGATCAACAGAAATAGATGTACTCCTCTATAGAAAAGTTTATGTTGTCACTTTAGCTGATCAGTTTAGTGTTGCTCAGATTACAAAGGGTGTGAAACTTTCTTCCAGGAGAGGCAGAAACATGACTATTGAGTACAAATTACCAGCTAGGTACTTATTTTGTTCCTTTAAGGTAATGCATCGTTTGCTGTGTAACTGCTAGCAGTATCTTGAGGTGGCACTGTTCAGGCTGCTTTTCAGAATTTGGCATTTTAGAGATTGTGTTGTTGAGTAATACAGTCTTTCCTCATTTATGTAGAGTAATAGCTCAGAATGATGATTTAGGTTTTTTTGGTCAATGCTCCAGCTAATAACTCTTTTAAGAAATGGCGTCTTCATCACAGCCATTTTACTGGCAATGGAAGACGCTCCCTGTGACTCAGGGATGAGTCCTGCCTTGGTAATATATTATACTTGTAGAAATATATTCAGTTTGCCTGCTGCACGGAACTTCTAAGCATTGCTTTTGATGGCCTTGCTTTAATTCTGGTGGGTGGTAGGTGGAAGATTGCATTCCTCATCTCTGTAAGCCACTGATGTAAAGGACAGTCGTCTTAGGACAGTTCCTGGGTGGGCACGGGGGTAGTTTACAACTGCAGCAAACTGATTTTACACTAGAGGTCAGTAGTAACTCATCCATGGCCATGACTTAGTGAGAAACGGCGTGTCCAATGGATTTCTGATCCAGAGAGTGCTTTCCTTCTATTCCTGCAGCGTCTGAACATAGAAACAAATGCAGATGTGTGAAGAGATCTGTGAACAGTGGCTTGAAGGGACAATTCTAGGACAGTGCCTTTTCCCCCACCTTCCTTTTGCTGCTGAAGGAAATTCAGGGAGGAATGATACCATTTCGGTGGGAATGAAAGAACCTGTGGATTCATTCATTCATTCATTCATTCATTCAAGGAAGCCTCCACAGTCAGGCCAGATTCTTCACAGATCTTTTCTGCAAAATGCAAGTGGAGTTTGCATTGAAGAAGAAAGCTATTTCCTTTGCAGGTTTTCTTTAGTGAACAAAAGCATGGCAAGCAAATAGCTTCGCTTTTGTTGCCCCAGAATCTGTTGGAGTGAGTGGGGGTGTCAGATTCAGGGACGCTCTTGATACAGCATTTGTCTAATATCTGTTTCTGGTACGCCATTATATTTTGTAAAAATTGTAGGGTTGACAAAGTCCCAGCAAAATGTGGTGAGAATCAGTGGTCTAGCAGGCTCTCGACAAGTTTATGGATGAGACTTCCACCAATGACCATTAGCCTTGATAACTAAATGGAACTTCCCTGTTCAGTTATAGTATACTTTAGTGGTTGTTTTTTGTTTTTATTATTATTTATGTTGTAAATTTCAATGAAACAATAAAAGTCCATCCAAAAGAACAAATATAACCACATATTTGTTGATATATCAATTTCAGTTAATACATATGATGTATGTGTGTTTGTATAAGAAAATGCGACTTTCTAAAAACATGCACACATGTCAACAGAAGTTGATCAAAGATCCATACAGGTGTCCATTCACAAGTGGCATCTCTATACCACCTGTTCAAATGTTGAAAGCACTGTTAGATCTGCAGTGCACTGCATTATAGGATAAGTATGTATCCTTCCAGTGTTGCAGTATCAGTCTTTTAGCTATCAAAAGGACAGAGAGAAACTATTTACATTGACTTTCAGGAAGCAGGCAACGGATATAAGAGGATGTATGAATTAGAAATATTAAAGAGTGTTCCACTGCAAGGTTTATCTGTATTATAACCTCTTCCCAAAAGTGGCAATTGCTGGACATTACCAAAATGTATGATTAAAGAAAGCATTGACTGTGTCACACCTCCGGCAGCTCGCTGACCCAATGCATTATTCAAGACACATTGCGTCACAGAACGGCAGGTTGTAGTAGTAGTTGTTGTTGTTGTAGTTGGAATAAAGTGTAGCCTAAGAGCTACTGACATGTCAGATACATGCCAAAATGGCAATCCATTGATTAGGCAAAATAGGACGGTCCTGCTCCCTAATTGATTCCTGCTTGAGATCCTGCATTTCATATTTATTCACCGATAACATTTATAAACAGGGATCTGGGTCAGTCTGTGTGATCCCTAAGTGCTAAGGAGACTCTGAGGCTGTGGAAGATCTAGACCAAGATTCCAAACCAAAGTTCCAGTGGCAAATCCTGGTCAGTCTTTTCATTAACGACATGGAAGAAGGGGTGAACAGTCTGCTGATCAAATTTGCAGATGGTACTAAAACCGGAGCAGTGGCCACAACTGAGTTCCTTTTGCAGTTCCAAAAGGATCTGGACAGACTATGGAAGTGGGCAGGAGACAGCAGGATGGCGTCCAGTGTGGATAAGTCCAAGGTCTTGCACTTGGGGCATAGGAATAGCTGTCATAAGTACAGGTTGGGGGACAAGTGGCTGGAGAGCAGCACTTGTGAAAGGGACCTTGGGGTGCTGGTTGACTGCAGGCTGAACATGAGTCAGCAGTGTGATGCGGTGGTCAAGAGGGCGAACGCCACCCTTGGATGCATAGCCAGAAGCGTGGCTTCTAGATCGAGAGAGGTATTACTACCACTCTATATGACTCTGGTGTGCCCGCAACTGGAGTATTACATTCACATTACAGGAAAGATATAGCCAGGTTGGAATCGATGCAGCATAGGGCCACAAGGATGGTGACTGGATTGCAGGGAAAGCCATATGAGGTGAGACTGAGGGAAATGAGTCTTTTCAGCCTTGAGAAGAGGAGACTCTGAAGGGACCTGTTAGCAACATACAGGTATGTGAAGAGGTGTCATGCAGAGATGGATCGTGACCTTTTTTCCCCTGTGGTGGAGGGGAGGACATGTTCCAATGGAGCAAAGCTCAGGGAACCAAGGTTCAAGGTGGATGTCAGGAAATACTTCCTGAGGGTTAGGACCCCGAGGGTGTGGAATGGCTTCCATGAGAGGTGGTTGAAGCCCCATTGGTCAGGGTGTCCAAGGGTAGGCTGGGCATGCACATGGTAGACATGTCGTGAGCAGAGCCAACCAGAGCCAGGAGTCAGACTGAATGGCCTGGGAGGCCCCTTCTGACTCGCCCTGTGTTTGTGTTTCTGTCGTTAGATGTGGCTGTTAAAATCAACGCATTGCTGACACCCCACACACAGCCTTTGGCTGCCAGCTCTGCTGCACTGCTGCATTGTCCCCCCCACCCCCGCACACACACACACTCTTTCCTGCATTCTTATACCTCAAAACCTTTTCAGAACTAGCATAATCAAAGTTATTCCTTGATATAAATGGATGGTAGAGAGCCTTTTTCCTACCTTGGGATATATTTAAGGTGTTCACATTTTACTAGCAGAGATGGATTTTCATCCATAACATGTATGGACAGTATCACCTTTTGTTCCTCTTAGCAGAATAGTTACATCTGCTTAAAAAGTAATGCCTTTGTGTCTCTTGGGAAAGATGTTTGCGCAGAGGCGGTGTATGTACAAACATGGGCAGGGCAGAGGGTCCGTCTCATGTAGCGGCTCTTCTTTGTGTTTAGCTGGCTCTTCATATGGTTTCTTTTATCCATAGGAAACTTGCATTAAAGTATCACCCTGATAAGAATCCAGATAATCCAGAAGCTGCGGATAAATTTAAAGAGATCAACAATGCACATGCGATATTGACGGATGCAACGAAACGAAATATCTACGATAAGTATGGCTCTTTGGGTCTGTATGTAGCGGAACAGTTTGGAGAGGAGAATGTGAACACGTACTTTGTGCTGTCCAGCTGGTGGGCAAAGGTGAGTCACGCGTGCTTCCTGCGAATGACTTTTGCCTGTGTAGTAACCCTGTGCAGTTACTGGCAACAAGCGAGCAGTGCTTTCCAGTGCTTACCCAAAAGATTCCCCCCGCCCCCATGAAGAGTTGTAGGGAAAACAAGCATTCAGGTTTTCTTCAGGCAGCTTTGGACTAGCTTCCTAGGCTGCTGGATCCTTTGGCCTCCCTCCTTGTGTTGGAAAATTAGCTATGGGTTTCAAGTTGAAAAAAGCATGAGAGCTGCAGCCTGTTTTCTTTCATTGATCACATTAATTGTACTCAGTCTACTGATCAGATTTGCATGTGGATAAAAAGATTGCTGAGGAAAGAAGGCAGCTTTCTTTTTTAAAGATAACGTATATACATGTGCTGTAGCTGCATTCCCTCCTGTATGGGAGAGAGGCGGCATGCCCCTTTCTAAGATGTTGGTTGCCACCTGCAGTTTTATAAGCACATCTATCAGAAATAGTTTTAGGAAGCCAGTTGCCCAGTTAATAATGATTAATCGTAATGGGTAATCAAATTGAATTAACTACAGCCATGACAAAATGTGGATTCTGGGCCAAGATCAGTAATATTCCATGCGCAACACTCTTTGCAATACGGCCTCTTGAAAACCTAGAATGCTTTTGTAGGCTCTTTGTGGTTTGAAAAAGACATGAGTCAGGTAAGTCTGCTGCACAAAGCAACTTCTGTGGTCTTTTCTTTTAGCATTTAAAGCTCTGATAAGCCATGTGACGCTACACTTCCAAGTCCCTTCCCTTCATTTTTGAGCATGCTGGTTTCCCGTTAGGAGGAGTCAGGCATGGTTGTGTTCCGCTCCCCCGGTTTCTTTGCCCCAAGGGAGGAGCTGAATCCGCACAGCAAGCTCTCTGGGTGAGCAGTTCTGCAGTGATAGCCCTTGTGTACCACGCCTGGGCTTTTGAAGAGAGAGCCCAACTTCTCTTGGTGCTCATGGGAGCATCGCAGATGCGTTACGCTAGACACTTTGGGCAATATTACACTTAATAGGCTGAGGCAGCTGATCCTAAAAGTCCTCAGGGGCTCAGACATATTTTAAAGGAATAGATGCTTGTTGAATTGAGTTAACTGGTTTAGTACATGACCCTCTGGGGTGGCTTATACAGCAGGGCCCTTAACTTCATTTCAGGGCATGCCAGCTTGTGATTTCTACCATCTGTAGGTGGTTTCATAGGAACATCTGAAGTGATTGTGAATGGGTGGTGGGGAAAGGTCACCTTTGGTTGCTGTCGCCACTGCTTTTGAATGGCTTTTGAAAGTTTAAGCAGCCAGCAGGTCTACAGTTAAAACACATCAAGGTTTTCTTAAACTGAGCCACTGTTAGGTTAAGTCATCTTGCAAGCAAATTTGAGAAAATTCATTTGGGCCTGTGCTGGGCTGGTTTATGGCCTGGTTTGGGGACAGACTCCGCCTGGGTGACTTTTAGTGTGGGAGAGACAGGGGAAGTGCAGCCCTGGCGATTCTCCCTGATCTCAGTGGCATTTGATGCCATTTGGTACCACCTGGCACCGTATCCTCCTGGGCTGGCTCTGAGGGTTGGGGGTCAGAGGCACTGGGTCGCAGGGGTTCTGCCCCTGCCTGTTGCCCCCTGGCATGGATACTGTGGGGCACCACAGTGTCTTGTCCCCCGTGCTGTTCGTCTTCTCTGTGACGCCGTAGAGAGTGATTTGAGATTTGATAGGTTGTGCTCCCACTGTACTAGTGGTGCCCACTCTGTTTCCCTTTGACATCTGACTCGGGTGCTGCCGCTGGAGCGAGCAGAGGGCAAGCTGGGTGAGGGCAAGTCGACGAACTCTGAGTCCTGAATCTCTCGTCCAGGAATTGGGCTGGTTACCTGCCCTGGGCAGGTTTGCAGACCCCAGAGCAATCGGATGTGCAGCCTTCTGCAGCCAGCCCTGTCGTGTGAGGCCCAGGAGGCATTGGTGGTTACGAGCGCCTTCTGCCAGCTTTCACATGCCTGCCTGCGGTGGCTGGTCCTGGACTCGGGTCGCAGGAGCCCGTGCGTTGGTAGCCTCAGGCCAGGATGACTGCGATGCGCTCTGTGTGGGACTACCCTTGAATCGACTTTGGAGGTTGCAGTTCATGAAGAACCTTCTGTGAGGTTACTGAGTCTGCACAGGCACTACGAGAAGTTGGGCTGCATACTTAAATTCCTGGCATGGTGCAACATGGAGGCAAGGTTTATCATTTCAGAACGGCTTGCTTAGAGGGAAATAGCTTCCTGAGGCAAAATAGGGAAGGGGGAAAATCCTTCATGAGCATGTTGCACTTTTGTCCCTGGGTGCCAGCACATTTCTGTAAGCCGTTCAGAGACAAAAGTGATGGACAGCCTAGAAATATAATTAATTAATTGACATGTTTGTTTGTTTGTTTGTTTGTTTGTTTGTTTGTTTCTGAGCCAAGTTCAAAGTGATGCTGTCATCTCAGGCTATAAATAATTTTGGGCCATGCTCCCTGAGGGAGATCCCAGTCCTCTATCAGACTTGAGATGTGGGCCTTCTGGTTGTCCAGTTGCCTGCACATAGACATCTCCTGGAAATCAACAGCAGGGCCTTCTGGGTTTGGCACCCAACCTTTGGAAATCCACCTCCGCTGCCACCCAACCGGTTGTTTGGGTACCTATTGAAAATGCATTTGTTTAACTAAGCATCTGTCTAGTTTCGTGCCTGGCCTGATTAAGTTTCTGTCTTATTGTGTTTTCTGATCTCACTTTTAACTGTTGCTTTAACTCCACCAGAATTGGTTCATGAAGGGTGGTATATAGAAATGTTAGATAAATGTATCAAGAAGATACATTCCTGGTGAAAGTAGACGTGAAGCACTATTGTCACGCTCTGGTTGAGGCACTCCTGGCTTTTCCCCTCGAGCCCCCTGTGGAAGGGAACGTGGAGCACGGAGAGGGATGCGCATTCCTCTGGCGCCTGTGCAGCCTTGTGGTCCAGCCCAGCAGTGCTTGGCCCCCTCTCCATGGCCCACCCATTCCCGCCGTTCTGCTCTTCTTCCGAGCCTCAGCCCTGTTTGTTTTCCTTGAGCAGCGTCTCTCATCCTGGCGCCCCCCAGAAATGTGGAGCCGTGCCTCCCCTCATCCCCAGCCAGCCCGGTCAGGGGCCATGCCACGTGGGGATACAGGGAGACCTGCCAGTTCCACACCAGTTGAGGGGCCACACGTGGGGATTTGCCCTGTCCTGTAGCACAGGGGCAAGCTAGAAATGGGACTTGCGTGCAGCCGCAAGGCCCCAGGGAGAGGGCCAGAGGCGGCCGTCTGGCTCGGGGCTTCCCGTCCCATCACAGCTCCGCGGCTGGGTGGCCTTTGCCGAGGACTGTCCGGGTTAGCGGCTGCTTGCAGCTCCCTCCGGGGCGGAGGGGCAGGGCTGGCTCGGTGTCCCGGCTGTCTCCACAGCCTCTCTCCCGTTTGCGCAGGCACTGTTTATGTTCTGCGGGCTCATCACGGGCTGCTACTGCTGCTGCTGCCTCTGCTGCTGCTGCAACTGCTGCTGCGGGAAGTGCAAGCCGAAGCCGCCGGAAGGGGAGGAGCAGGAGTACTACGTGTCCCCCGAAGACCTGGAGGCGCAGCTGCAGTCCGACGAGCGGGGTGAGTCTCGGCCCTCCTAGGACCGGGCACGGGGCGGGCACAGGGAGCAGGCGCCTCTGCGAGGCCCCATGTGCCACATCTCAAGGGGCAGCCCTGCGAACTCGAGGGCTTGGGAGTGGGCTGGCGGCTGGGGGGAAGCGGGGGCTGCCGGCGTCCTTCCTGCGTGGAGCAGAGTCCTGTCTGTCCCAAGGCAGCTGGCGCCGCACTTCGCGCCCACCGTGACGAACCGGCTTAGCCGTAAGTGGAACGGCAGGTGCCGCATTTGCCAACACGGTTTTCGGGGGGAGGATAAATGTGAGTGGGGGAAGCCCCCCGCCGTCCTTGTGATCCCAAACGAGCCTTTACGTTCTGCGTGGGACATAAGAAGTGAGACTCCACTGCTTTGATAATTAAGGGGGTAGTCCGATGCAGGCCGCCACTGAGAAAGGCCTGCATATCGCAGGCATCCATGCGACTTAGGGTTCTTTTCTGCTACTTTGAAGTGGATGGAGAGAGAGTGGGCCCCGCCAGGGTCTCTAGAGGAGGGGAATCTTGTGGAAATGGAGTCCAGCTTTGCTTTTCAGGCAGAGCGCCGGGTGCCTTGTCAGTCTCCTGGCACCTGCAGAAATCACACTGCTCGATGAAGGCCTCTGGGAAGGGCAGCACTGACGCGCTCCCTCCCTTTCCGGTCCCCTTTGAGTCACTCCTGCCCAAGGTTCCTTAAACTCCTGCGCATCACTTGTAAGGGGCTTTGTGGGCAGTCCTAGATAACCCCAGTATTGTTGTTGTTGTTAGTCGCGAAGTCGTCTCCAACCCATCGCGACCCCATGGACAACATCCCTCCAGGCCTTCCTGTCCTCCACCATCCCCCGGAGTCCACTTAAGCTCACACCCACTGCCCCATTGACTCCATCCAGCCCCCTCATCCTCTGCCGTCCCCTCCTTCTTTTGCCTTCAATTGTTCCCAGCATTAGGCTCTTCTCCAGGGAGTCCTTCCTTCTCATTAGGTGGCCAAAGTATTTGAGTTTCATCTTCAGGATCTGGCCTTCTAAAGGGCAGTCAGGGTATTGCATCCAGGCAATTTGGGGAAATGATTCAAAAGCCCTGTTCTTCGTTTTTCAGAGACCTCTGGTACACCGATTGTGTTACAGCCGGCCTCGGCCACAGAGACGACCCAGCTCACGGCGGACTTACACCCCAGCTACCATACCGATGGAGTTAACTAAGCTAAGCAAGCACTGCTCACTAGAGTGGAGACGAATCAATAACACGGCCAATCCAGCACTAGAATCATGGACATTAGAAATAGAGTACGGGGAGGGGAGACGTCCTGCCACGACACAAGGGCAGCCTCCAACCTGCTGAAAATATTTTGTAATCCCTTCGCCTTTTGTCACCTTCAGTGTTGTATCTTGATGATACATGGAAGTACTGTAGCATGCAGTATTTGAAGCAGTTTAGCTTTGGTCTCTCTCTTTTTGTTTCGTTCTGTTTCCTTTTTTTAAAAAAAATAGCATGTGTGGAGTTTACGTTATCAACGTCTTTGTGTTGTAATGTATTGAGGAGTTATCACAACGAGTGTGATGGATATATTCTGCATTTTAAGCAGTGATACCAGCCAAAAAAAAGAGCATTTTCAAAGAGCAGTTAACCTGTTACAGAAGCCACTGCACTTCCATACAGTTGAGCTACGAGCATTGCTTGAAGGCGACTGTTCATCTTCCAAGATTTCCAGTATTTTCCCACCTGTCCCATCTTTCCCATCATTCCTGTGTCTCAGCAGGCTTGCCTTGAAAAATGCTGATGTTGCAAGGAAGGGATTTTTAAACGAATTGCTGTTTTCTGGAAAATGTTTCCTGTTTATCTGTTTCTTCTTCAGACTATATATAATCTGTCAGTCATCTGCTTTTTAGTTAAGATAAAGCTAAGTAGGAAAGGGCCAAAATGCTGGTTTTGCTCCAAACCAGCTGTTACTTGAACTATCTCTCTGCATTTTAAATATAAGTGCACATGAGTTTTGTTTGAATTTAATCATTCCCCTGCACTATTTATAATCAAATATTGCCAATTTTTAAATTGTGCATGAATATGAAAAACTGAAACAGATGTATGTTCTCGTCCAGCTTGAATAATGTCTGTGTAAATAAATAGCCAAGAGCAAATTTTAGATTTTTGTTGTTCAACTATACATGGCTTAGGCAGTTTTCATAAGCATCTCTTTAAACACAATACACTAAGGTCAGGACCACTTTACAAATGTGTTCTAGGTTTACTCCTGCTATTATTTTCATGTGCACTTTCAGAAAATCTCCAGTCTGAATGCAGCTAACCTGTTCCGTACTGGTGCTGTCATCAGGGCACTGGGCACTGGCTGTGACCGCTGGCTGGATATTGGCTTAAGGGTTTACTGTGGTGTCATATAGAAAACAGACCAAAGCTGATTGTGGTTCAGCCAACAGAGCACTGTGCGTGGAGTTGAGAGGCCCAAATCCCGAATCTGTTACTGGATTGATTTGTGTAGCTTCCTAGAACAGCTTAGATCATTTCTCTGCTTCTGTTCTCTTCTTGTAAAATGGGAGCCGTAAGCTGACCTGTCCTAATGATTGTGCACCACTGTACACAGGATTAATTGGTATTGCCCAGTGGCTGTCAAGGAGCAAACTGCTCCCATTTCCTTGTATCCCCCCCATGAAATGCTTTGCACCTGCTGTTCTTTTCGGTATGTTCCTTTCAGCTTGGCTCTTCCCTTCCTTTTCTGTCTCTCCAGTGATACTTTTATAGTGCACTCTCCAAAGGGTTTTCCCTCTCTGTGCTGAGGAGGGAAATCATGAATTGGATATTTTGTGTGTGCTTCAGTGTGTGAAATCGGAGGGCAAGATATTCAAGTAGTGTTTACTCTGTGCTGTTGCTTTAGAATATCTGTTGATAAAGGCACCACCCAGGGACATGCCAGGAGTCTGGGGCTGCTGCTTGTGTTTTGGAACCTCCTCCTTCCCTCCACCTTTCCCTCCCTCCACATTAGGATGTCTTAGAAATATTTGAGGTGGCCAGGACTAGATCTGTAGAACATGGAGACGGTGGCGTGGACAGCTCCGCTTTGATTGTGGCTGGGTGATGCCAGTTTGAATGCTGTCCAGGTGGGAGAGGCATTGCAGGCAGAAAACTAGCCTAGCAAGGAGAGAGGCTTTTAGTCAAGCTCCTTGACCATTCCTCAAGTTTTTCATTTTATTTTTTAACATAGGAGAGCATCGAAAGATGTTGGCATCTTCCTGTGGGCTAATACATTACACTCAACTCAGCCAGTTCAGCATTCCACATTCTGCAGCATATCTAAATGAGGCCTAGCTCATGTGAATTGCAAATTTGTTTTAGGCTGTTTCAGGGTGGATTTTCCCCTGCAAGTTGATGGGCTTCCATTGGAGGAGTGTTCCTCCTGTCAGACCCAAAAGGAGGTTTGCAAAGTGAAAGGAAAGAGTGCTGAAATCATGTTTAACAACTGGACTAAAATGATGGTTTGAAATTTGAGTATCAGTTTCCTTCCTTCCCTTTCCAAAGGTGTTTTCTACTGCATGTGCATCTGACTTTGGCCAGGCAGAAGGTCCATTTTCAATATTTAGGATGAGGTCCAAGCACATTAAAGTAATAACACCAACACTTATTATGTGGCTAGTTTTTAGCTAAATATTCAGGACAGCACGGAACTTTAACATATCCAGAATCCACTTTCAATATTCAAGCTCTTTTATACTTGCAGCTGTCTATATGCAAAATTGCATCTCACAATAGCTAGTGCCTCTAAGCAGGTTTTTATTTACTATCCAACTACCTTAGGGAGAGAGAAAAAAATCTATAAAACTGGCCTTGAAAGCCCTAAGCCACCTTTCCAATGTAATCTGCAATGTGGAGGATGAATTTATAATAGAGCTTATAAAAGACGGCAGAATTTATTGTTCAGAAATTAGGGTTGATACCAATTGTGTGTCTCCTGTCAAACCTCAGCTTTATTTTAAATATGTTTAAAGTTGACCAGGTGAGGCTTCTGCCATGTCTCCACAACGATCCGGTGAAAAACTAGGTCCCAAATAGGTGTGAATTTGGCTTTGATGTCATTCTTCACTGGTTCCCGTTAGCCGTTGGCAAAAAATGCAGCAATCTCAGGTGCAGTTAATTGGCTTACGAAACCCTCTCCTTCTGTATCTTCTCCTGTGTATCAGTTCATGTGAGGGTTGAAGGCACTTCAGTCGGCTAAGCAGTTGATGCTCTTGTGTAATGATTCCATGAGCATCCCAGGCAGACCTGTGGGGTAGAACCGCCAATGGGGTTTCTGAGGGCGGCATCAGAAACTTCTTTGTCTCATGTTACCCGTCCATATATTCTTGTTACACTGACCCTTGTTCTACATCTCCCATAATTACTTGGACAGAATGCCAGGAAGAAGGTCTGTGATGCAGGCCTCAAATGCATTCATTGTCTGCTCCTAACTGAGTGACCTTGAATAGGCGAAATGTGGGCTCTTTCACAGTCTGTTTTAAAAGGAAATCAAGTTTCAAACGCAATAGTTCCTCAAATATGAAAGTGGTTTGCAAGAAGTTTCACTTTCCATTGCAGTTCTTGTGCTAAAGTGAAAATAAGCGGTGCGCAAGGGGGGGATGTCTTTTCAAACTAGCTTCTGCTCTCAGAGTGTTACTTTGAGTGCAATGCAGCCTTTCCTAACCTTGTGCTCTCCAGATGTTCTGGACTGCAACTCCCAGTACCCAGCTGGAGGGCGTTGGGTTGCGAAAAGCTGGTGTATTGCATAATTCTCCTATTTCTCGGTAATTGTCCATATGCAAAGTCAGGGCAGGTCCTTCCCCGCCCCTTCCCTCTTCCGTTCAGCTTTATGTTTCCCTTTTCTTTTGCACATCCATGTTATATTGCCACAGACTTAACGGTCGGTTATCCTTTGAGCCTTTTTGTCATTGTCCAAACCAGTGGATCATACCAATGGAATTAGCATTGCACAGTTTTGTGATGGGCAGATAATATCCAGATTTCAGGCCCAGCAGCACCACCTCATTATGTGTTGTGGCCAAACCAAATCCTAGTTCTGTCTCTTTAACTAAACTGAGCTGACAGGGACCTGCTTACGGGAGCTGCAGGCACCACTTACCTGCCCTCTCCTCACAAACATCAAAATAAATGTGGCTTCTTCACTGGAGAGGCTGCACTAAAGCTGCCGAGAATCAAGGCAGGGACTCAAAATGGGTAACAGACTGGCTCCCAGGCAGAATGTTTGGTGCCAACGTACCTGAAAATTCAACCTCTGCACCGTTATTCTCTGCTTAAATGTGTTGCCAGCACTTTAATTTTGTGCGTGCGTTTTTCCTTAAGTGACGTTAGATTTCTAAAGCTTTTCAATGAGTCGGCTTGCCTCGCCCACCAATCGCATCAGGGTGTTCGCTGTGTGAGCAGCTGCTGTCTTCAGTCATACTGCCCCATCTTGTATCACTTCTGTTAGTCAGGGGAGAATCCACACCACTTCTCATGGTTCAAAGAGTTTTACGGGCATCCGTTTCATTAACTGGAATCTGGAGGAAATGCAGCCTGAGAAATAGGCTGATTTCTTGCTGCTTGGACCCCCTATCACACCATACTTAGCCGAGGGTTTTTATCTCCAAAACTGCAATTTCGGTCCCTGGGCATGTGCATGAATGTGTGCGCACTGCACCACCATCCACAAGTGTCTGTGGAAGGTCTGAAAAGGTATCACGGTGGTGCTGACTAGACATAACTAGCAAAGAAATCCATGTCTTTTTTAGAACCAGTGACTGTGTTGCATTACATTTTAAGACACCAGGGTGTGTTGCACAATCAGTTCTGTGCTGGGAAAAATGTCACTTGGGAGCCAGTTAAAAAAATATATATATATTGCATTCCACATCCCCTCTACAGCAGTGGCCGAAGGCGGTTGTTACACGATACGGCAGCCCATGGTGGCTTAATTTAGCCGTGGGAGCTGTTGCATCAGGTTGTGTGCCAATTTCGCATGATCCCGGTGGGCACCTGGCTTATGTGGCATGACCCCAGGTGGCATTCTCACAGCAGCCCTCACACTGTTTGAGGACTGCTGCCAAGGACAACAAGGCCTCCCACCTGGGCTCCCACCATACAAGCAGCCCATGTGTAGAGGGCAATTAAAGGAAAGGTGTTTATAATATGTCACCGTGGATGATTTCCCCATCACGATGGTGCGAATCCGGTCCGTTGTCTCCTGCCTCCTCCTAATGCACAGCTTCTTTCTTATTACCCTCCATCCCAGAGTAATTCAGTGCAATCATTTAAAATAGATGTGGTCATCCTTTGTATGGAACTAAGGGGCATTTTGCCCGTGACTGTTCAATAAATTTCATGGGTAATATGTGTAAGGGTAAGCTATCTGTATTTTATTTCTGTGTATGTATAGCCATCTGTATACACCCTTGCAGCATTTGTACATAGACTTTTTGCCATTTCTTGGCATTTTCAAGAGCTATGCCATGTCTTTTTTTTTAAAGCTTACTAACATTTTTTTAAACTGCTTTAGATAACAGCACTCAAAGTGGTCAATAAAATGTGACACCCTATGAAATTGCATTGTATCGTAGACATAGTGCACTAGAATAAGCATCTCCTAGGAATTTATTCAAAGGGAAGATATTCAAATGCTGAAAAGATGGACAATAAATCCATATCCTTAAATACCCCTCAACATACAGAGATACCAAGTTAAGAGCTGTTGGATTGCAACTCCCAACATCCCCACTGTTAGCTTTGCTGGCTGGAGCTTATGGATGTTGCAGTCCAGCACCTGTTTCCCACCCCATACTAAAGAGAAGATTGCAAAGTTAGCAGAATCCTGGCACGGTCATGATTTGTGTGGGCTGGTGGGGTTGAAGTGAATTGCCAGTTATTCAGGGCACGATGAGGGAAGCCACCAAGCCACCTCTGAACGCACCTGCTGCAGAGGTGTACAATTCAGTGGGGCACGCTGACTTGAAGGCAGCTGAACTGGATTGTTGCAGTTCTTACCTGGTGATAATTTGGCTTTGATCATTGGCCAGGAAAAGGAGAGGGGGATGGTTCAGCCCAAAATGACCACCCCTTTCTCCGGCCTGAGCCTTCTGCTTTTTCATCCGTGTGTGGGCAGTGAGACATGACATTGGGACAAGTAGGCAGTTCAGAGTTTCCTGTTCAAATAGAAGGAGGAGATGCTGGTGCATATTTTGTTAAGAGAGAAAAGTCCCTTAAACTTCCATGGGTCCCCCCCTTTTATTATTTATTTTATTTTGCTGGAAACATTGGCCTTCCTCCTCAGTGTCATGATGGAAGGATGAAGTTCATTGCAGGTGAATATGTATGATTGCTTCGTAAAGGCCCCAAAATGGACAGTGCAGAAGTGCCCCTCCTGACTGTGTAAGGAATACAACCTTCTTCCTACCCCAGAGCCTTCACCTTTGTGTTCCCTCCACATGATTTCCTCAGTACCTTTGTCCAACTTGTAGCTCCAAAATAGCACAAGGTCTTTTTAAATTACTGTTTATTTGCTGGAGACAATCGGCACAATCAAACTGCATCGTGCCTGGTCGTGCAGCTTGTTTCAGCTTTGATATTTTGAGGTAATTTAAGTTTCGTATGCCTGCATGTTAATGGATTCAGGGGCACACGCGTGTATTGATGAAATGAAACTGGAGATCTGTCAGGGCATTGCATTTTCCTTGTTGGGAGTGGCATCTGTGTGTGCGGGCGTGCGCCTGCACACGTGTGTGATCTCGTTCAGCTGCCATTTTTTTATTCCTCCCTGCATCACTCCCCCCTGCCCCCTGCTTTTATCGGGAATGTGTTGTGCGTGTGTCTTAATGTAATTATCACTTGATTCAAGGCAGTCTCTTCTGGTGTACAAGTAAGAGGTTAGGATGAACTGAGGCACGGGCAATGAATACTCCCCTCGCACGGCTTCTGCTTGTTTCAGTGAAGGTTCCCACTGAAATGATAAAGGCGCCATAACAGCAGAATTTGGTCAGTTCCATCCTTGACTCACTGTTGACTTTTAATCCTTTGATTGCGGCCTCCTTTGAAGTCTGTGCGACCTGAAGCCATGACCAGGGTCGCCTTTGCACTTGTTCTTGCGAGATGGGAGGAGGGAAAATCCAAATGTGTTTTAAAAAAATGTTAGTTGTAAAAAACAATCAAAGTATAAATGCATTTGAAAAGCAATGATATATAAATATATATATAATAGAATATATATATATTTTGTTATGTTACTTAGAGGGTTATCCTTTAAATTGTATGTAAGTAGATGTGGCTGTCTGAACTTTGTGGATTGTTAACACTCGCAGTACTGAGCTCCTGTACAGTTCAAGCAGAAAAAAAATTATTTTATGTTTTAGCATGGTAATTTATGTATTGTATGTCTGAATAGGAACTTAAAAAATAAAGACTGCTAAATTATCAGAAACCAAGGTTGTAAAATAAATGTTTTCAAGGCAAAAAAAAAAAAAAAATCCAGCCTCCTTTGATTTGCATTTTTCTTGTCTTTAAAGGCTTGAATTTCTGTTCATAGGCAAAATGTTGTGAATTGAAGGGGAAGAAGTCAAGGCAAGACAGTGCGGCAGTGATGGGCTCCCTGCGTGACCTTGTCCCTTAATCAGCCTTTATATGACCAGCAGTGTGGTTTGCCCTTTGTAACTCTTGTCCTCATTTGTTCCCAAAGACAACATCTGGTCCTAGGTGAAAACAGGGTGGAAGATTAGCAGGGTGAAACCTTAGCAAAAATTACAGAATGGAAAAGCCGTTGGTCAGGTTCAAAGTAGGCACAGGATGTAAGTTCCAGTTCTGTAGCAAACAGCCGAGAAGAAGAAAAGCACAATCTAATTCCCCATTTTATTATTTATTTTATTTATTTAGACAGCTTATATGCCGCCCCCATCGCATAAGCCTCGGGGTGGCTTACAATCATTAAACCCCCCCCCCCCACACACACACACACATATTCATAGAATAAAATACATAATTGCCCTAAAGTAAGCCATGCACCTGGTTCCATGGAGACCCATCGCCTCTGTGGGGCAGTTTCCTCTTGCCTGGTCAAGCTGTCCCTGCCTTTCGGGAGACCTGCTTCCCAAGACTGGTACCAAGGAAAAAGACCCAGAACTTCTGCTCCGTTGGAGACTATCGCCTTGCATCCTTCCCCGCTCCCAGGGTAGCGATGACAAAAGAACCATCCCTTGAGCTTGGCTGTCTCCAGCCTGAGAAATACGCAGCTAATTATAAAATGGACATTTTCTCTTTTTGGTTTTGTTCGGGATGTTCTGGCTGAGTGGACCACTCAGGCTGACCATAACTGAGGGTTGGGAGCCTTTGGATACAAGCATCTTCCTTAGAGTTGCTGCAGATATTTCAGCTGAAACATCTGAGGAATTTCAAGGGAAATGCGGAACTTCTTGAGGGGATTTGTGCGTATCCCTGTCCCCAAGCAAGCCTTGTTGGAAGTATGTCTCTTGTAGTCTGCTTAACTTAAACGGGGCTTGCTCCAAGCATTCAGCCCCAGACTCAAGGAAAATGCTTCTACCTGCTGTCTTTACAGCTGGCTTTCCATTCTGCCCTCAGTGCAGAGTAGAGTTACTTGAGTAACTTGGCTCCCTTACCTACCACTCGCCACCCAAGCATAGCTCAGCATCTGTTCACAAAGCCAGGCAGAGGAACCTTCTGCTTGATGTTTGCTTTAGCCCTGAGCTGTTGGATCTCTTTCAGCCCAGGGGCCAGCTTCCCTTTCAGAGAAGATCTGGAGCTGCTTTTTGGGGTAGTGGAGATCCAAATGCCAGCATAGTCTGTCTTAAAGCTCTTACTGCCAGTGGCTAAGCTTTAGAAGAGGCACTTCAGACTTTTCAAAAGAGGGCACAATTCCATGGAAGCGGAGAAATGACCCGACCATGAGTGGCCAGGGGAAATGGGGCAGGGAACTCCTGGCGGCCTGGAGTTAGCCTGAGGATCTGCACCCTTATGTTAGTCTCTTAGGATGCAATCCTATGTCAAGTTTAGACAGAGAACAGGCCTACAAGTCCCAGCATGCCCCCCTCTCCCAGTGTAGCATGGCTGCATCAGCCCCTGAGCTTACCCACTACTTCCATAACACATGTGACCACCGAAGAGGCAAGGAGGCCCTCGAAGCAGCTGCTGAATATGTGAGCACACAGTGGTGGATTTTCACAATGTCTTTTCCTGGAACCAAACTGGTGCTGGTGGTGATGCTGATGTGGGACAACCTTCTCTGGGGCCAGCGATGGGGGGAGCCTGCTCTCTTCTCACTGCTTGCCCCCACTGGGAGAGCAGGTGGACTTGGAGAAGGCCAAGCAGGTCTTTGGTATGAATTGGCTGCTTGCAGTGTGCCCAGAAACAGACTGGCAACCCAAGGAATGTCATCCTCTAGGTTCAGGTGAGATGTGGTCAGGCAAGTTGGACTTCAGAAGTAACTTAGCAGTGGCTGAAGCATCCCACAGTTACTCAAAAGCAGCCCTAAATAGGCTGGGACAAAGCTAGAAGTCTCCGTCCCTCTAGCATTCATCTAGACTTCCTTTTGTGCTTACGAAGTGAAGCTGAGCTAGGAGTGGGCAGGAGCGAAATGCAACCCTTGCCCAACGGGTGGCCACCATGGACGGCTCCCGTGAGGCTGAAAAGACCGGCTGTGGTGGATGAGGAGCCCCACTGACAGAAGACTCGGCCTCCCCTGGGGGCTTGCAGCTTCCCAATATGAGGGAGCTTCTCACTGGAGGAAGAAGTTGGCTTTATTTTCCCTCCTTGCCTCATACCATCTGTTGTGATTTTCAGCAGCTTCCACGTGGTCTTTTCCATGCCCTGCTCCCTGCCTTTCCCAGCAGCAGAACCTGGAATCTTTTTCATGCAAGTTTCTGCTCTATGCAGAGTCTGCAGTTGTTTCACAAGCTTGGGAGGTTGGCCTGCAGGGATGGGAAGAATAGAAGCCCCAGCAGAACAGAGCTTAAGGGGCATGGATGTTAGAGCTTTAGTTTAATAACCTGCCGATGTTCTGGGATTTCATAGGAGGAACCCTCCTAGGAAGCAGCTTTGAACCAAGGATTCCTGTGCTGCAAAGGGACGTCTCCCTCTACCCCTTTCTAAATCTCATTTGGCCTGCCCTTCCATGTTAGTGCACCATCCTGGGATGCTGAGGCAGTTGAAACATAACCTGCTTGCCACCCAAGATGGTAGGAGCCTCTGGTATCGCATTCCTGGAGCTCCCGAGAAGAGCCGACGCTGATCTCGAGGGAAATCAGGCAAGCAGCTGCCTCCGGCGTAGAGGCGGCAGCGGCGGTGATGAGCTGCTGCTCCTGTCCTTTTCCACCATCACCCTTGGTGCCCAGAGCGAGGGCACATGGAGCGCGACATCCGGATGAGCGGCTGCTTGCTCCCTTGTCATGTCGAGCCACATGGAATACAGCTCCTACCCGAGAGATTGTCCCACCATGGATAGCCTGGAGAGGCAGCTGATCTGCCCCATCTGCTTGGAGATGTTCACCAAGCCCGTGGTCATCCTGCCCTGCCAGCACAACCTCTGCAGGAAGTGCGCCAATGACATTTTCCAGGTGAGTCGCGAACAGTGGGGGGCTGCGGCTCGTGGCCAGGATGGAGGAGGCGACGTAGAGGAAGGACCCGGGCACCACACGCCCTGAGGCCTCGTGTGTGCGCCACTGCCCTGTGCCCAGAGTCATTCCACCCCTTCAGGGACCCAGGTCAGATGCGGGAGAACAAGCTGGGTGCTTGGAATTCAGTGGTTATTGGGTGCATTTATTTATATCCCAGCTTTTTTCCTTTCAAGAAACTCAAGGCAGCTAACAGTTTTATTGTAAGCTGTCCCGAGACATTTGCAGCGGACAGGTTGGAAAAGCTTTGGACGGACGGACGGATGGATGGATGGATGGATTCTCCTCCTCCCGATCTTATCCTCACAACAACCCTGTGAGGTTGGGCTGAGTGTGATGGACCCAAAGCCACCCAATTGAGTGGGGACTAGAATCGGCATCTCCTGAGTTCCAGCCCTGACCTCTTAACCATTGCAGACAAGAGAATATGACAGCAGGGTATAAAACTGTGCATGTTCTGGAAAAGAACCAAAGAAATTATTTTTCTTTGGCATCAAGAATTAGTATTATTTTAATTATTTTTCAAACGTGGGCATCATTTGATATGACAGAAAGGTTAACAGGCAACTCAGGATATTGGATGAAAAGCGCTTCACTCTAACTGGGTGCAGACAATGTGGAAAGTCACACTCAAAGGTTGTGGGTTGGTTGTTTTTGTCGAACTGTAGGAACAATACTGCAAGGTCAGTTGTCGTGTTGTCTGTGCTCAGCCGAGGTAACAAACCCAGGTGAGCAACCCACAGTTCACATGCTTACAAAAAACGATGGGTCCTTCCTGGGTTGTTTGTGTTTTACCAGCCTTGAGAGTCAGCATCCACATCTCAGAGACGACCCACAATTGATATTCAGCTCTTGAGTGTGGTTTACCATGTTTTCTGAGCCATTGGTATGCATAATTTGTGAAACGCAGTGAGTCAATCCCCAGTCATTTATTTGTTGGAAACCAAAGGCCAGCAAAAAACGACAAATGATTCAGTTGCCAATGTGACAGAGTTGATACTTCTTGCAGGTTGGGGAAGCAGTAATTCATATCCTGGAATCAGGCAACCAAAACCAGATCTTATCAGAACTGGGCTGTCAAATAGGTCAGGTCCCCAGGAACCTTACATGATGGCTTGTCCAAAACAGAAAGGGTGATGCCCTGTGACGGCGTCTTGGCCAGCCACTGTTGAGTTGAGTTCCATATACTTAATGGGTTAGTTTTCCCAACAAAGGCCTTCTCTGTGGGAGCTTCCAGATCCTTATCTTCCCATAGAAAATTTAGAATTGTGTTTTTGAAATTTTGCCATGAATGATGCAGCATCGGAGGTTGAATGGTTGGTCTTGTCCCACTCCCATTTCAGAGCAGTTTCTATTGCAGTGGGAGAAGGGAGCCAGAAGATACAGGATTTTGACGAGTTACCAGTTGTGTTCAGACCACACGATAACAACCGAAGGTCAATGGCAACCACACCCATGCTCAACCCTCAAGTGTGGGCTACTGTGTTGTCTCAGCCCAGCCGGTAAATCATCACAAATCACAACTCCCAGGGCTTGAATATAAGTGTGGTTTGTCATTGAACCTGCGGTTGTTCTCATGTTGTCTGAACCCAGCTATGCTAACAGCCATGACTTGCTACCCATGAACAACCCATTGAGGGAACCATGCTTGGTTATTGGTGTATGAACTGTGAGCCGTTCACCCTAGTTTGTGATTTTGGCTGGGTTCAGGCAACACAACCCTTATTTCAGTGACAACCTACAGTCAACCTATACTCAGCCCCAAGTGTGGATTATGCTGTGGTTTGAACCCAGCCAGCATAGCCTGAAGTGCCTGATCCTGCCTAATCTTGGAAGCTAAGCTGGGTCCGACCCGGCTAGAATGAGGATGGGAGACTTGAGCAGGCAGTTTGACCTGATGGCCTCCTTTCCAACTATATGACTCTGTGGGTTGCTGCATGCGAGCCTAGAAGAGGGTTACTTTAGCCTGATATCAGGCAAGTTGTCCTTGCAGCTCAGGAAATGGCTGATATGTCCTGTTTGCTGGCAGGAGGCCATGCCTCCTCTTCTTGGCCCACCTAAAGGCAGCCTTCCCCTAGCCCAGGGCGAGGAAATTGGCTGTTTGCACTGACTGGAGATAAGAACAAAGTTTCCTTGCTGAGGGGTGGAGAAAGGCAGCTGTCACTGTAGGAAAGGCAGCCTGTTTTTCTCTTGTCAAGGGAAAGGAATCCAATGACGCCAGGGCTGGCTGGGGCTTTGGGAAAGGGGCAGCGATTCAGTCTCCTGGGGAGCTTTCAGGCCCCGGGTTTGGAACAGTTCCCCACATCCACTAAAGTCCGCCATGTCCCTTCTGACCGGGAGTTTTTCCAGGGTCTTTGTCTCCATCAGCGCAATCCTTTTAGCTAAAGATGTTGCTAGTTGATTCTGGGACCTGCTGCATGCAGACACACGCTCATCAAGCCCTGAATGAGGGTTGCTCCCCCCCGGAGACTCCCAGAGCCCCAGAGTGGTGGCAAGGCTTGCTTTGGCCCAGCCTGCCCACGTCTAACGTGTCGTTAGCAGCCTTGCTGGTCTCACAAGGCCAAGATGCCTTCCCAGGGTCGTGCTCAGCCAGATAACTTAAGGATTGCGAATGTTCTAATTTCCAGTCGTTTGGTTCTGCAGGGGGGTGACAGACAGCTGCCCATGTACTATTAAATGTCGAGTGTTTGCTCCTGGCTCCTGGCCTTCGGTTTCTCGTCAACATATCACTAGCAGCACCTCCTTCGGCAGCCTATAGGGCTGGTCTCTTGGGGCTGCCGAGGGCCCGATGCTGACCTTCAGCAGGGCCACCTGTTCAGAGCTGGAACATGGCATGTTTCCTCTGCTGGGTTTTGAAGGTTTGTTTCTTGCTCCTCAGTGCTCAGTTTTGGGAAAGGTGAGGTGGAAAGAAATCTTGAAATGCAAGAAAGGAAGGAAAGATCTATATTAGCATTGTATGTCCTGGCTGTGCATTCATTGGGTTGCCATGTGTCTGACTAGACAGCACATAGCAACAACAAATTGTGCATTGCTCGTTAGTGCGTCTGTGTGAAATGCTAATGTGCCTCTTTATTCAGACAAAAAGGGCCGTTATGTTGAAGTGTTAAATGCGCTTTTCTATATTGCTTCCCCCTTGGAACTAAGCCACGGAGGTCTGGATTTGGGGATAAAAGCCATGGGGCACTCCCGTGGTGTGAGGTGCTAAAGGCTTGAATTCCAGGCTCACAAGGACCAGTTTCCTCAGTGGCTCTCTGCTTATGCGAACAGCACCCCCATCTTCTCTCTGCTTCCTTCCTGCTGTCATTGGGACTTCAATTGCACAATGTAAACATTTACGTATATTGGGATGGATCCATGCTCAGAGTAAGTAAATGGAAGCCATCTGGGCTTACACTAGTCATGAACTTGCCTGCTCCAAGCATAGCTTAGCATAAGTCTCGGTTCAACCCAAAGTATGAGGTATTTACGAGAAGGGCCAGAGGTCCATGGTGGAGTGAGAGCAGGACGTTCCAGGATCAGACCCTGGGAAAACCCTGCCTGAATGCTGGAGAGCCCTTGGTGCTCAGCGCCACGCCATCTGGATGGACCAAGGGCCTGGCATTGCACGAGGCAACTCACTTTGTTCCTACCAGATGGTGTTGGGGTGACCTGGAGCACTGTCTTCAAGATGCACATGCGCATATGTGCGCACGCACGCACGTGTGTGCACCCTACATGCTCCCTTACGCATTCGGCCCATGCTGCTCCTCCCATGCTCGTCTTGTTCATCCTTTCCTCCCAAGGATGGAAAGGTCATGTAGCCTGTCTGATTTAAGCACCCAACAATGGCATTGAAAACAAGCTCTGAGATGGTTTCCAAGCCATGGGGACGCTCCACTGCCCCTCCTGGAGACTCCACGGAGAATCCAAGTTGGGCTTCCATTCCACAGCTGCCCCAGTCGGCAGATCGGCAGATCGCCACCTCGCGTCTAATTCATGTTGTGCCTTTCAGTCTCGAGGGACAACCCTGGGATCGGCAGGGAGGTTTCGCTGTCCGTCTTGCCGCCACGAAGTGGTTCTGGACAGGCACGGCATCTACGGGCTGCAACGGAACCTGCTGGTGGAGAATATCATTGACATCTACAAGCAAGCTTCCGCGAGGGGGCCGGAGAGGTTGGTTGCCTGGGCGATGGACAGTCATGGGGCAGGGCACGTCCTTCCATCCCGCCATGTGGGTAAATCATCTCGGTTTTCCCAGATATCTACAGGAACCCCCCTTCCATTATCTTTCACAGCGGCGTGTCAACTGGAGAGCCAGAGAGAGCGTGTGGATAGCCCAGCTTTCCCTAATCTGTTGTCCTCCAGATGTGCTGGACAATAATTCCCACTGTAGCGTAATGGTGAAAGTGTTGGACTGGGACTCAGGAGATCTGGGTTCCAGGCCCTACGCATCGGGGAGCTGTGGGTCAGCCACGGACTCAGTTTATCTTACCCCACAGGGCTGTTGTGAGGATGAAATAGAGAGGAAGACAACCTTGTAAGCTGCTCTGGGTTCCTTGCGAGAGGAAGAAAGGCCAGGAAAAAATATAATGTAATACTCCTCCTCCTCTTCATCCTCCTAGCCACCTGGGTGTGGATTATGGGAACTGCAGTCCAGCACATCCAGAGGGCAGCAGGTTGTGGAAGGCTGGGAAAGATTTAAAGGTGCTTCTAAGATGCGAAGCAGCTCTTGATTTGTGGCTGGTTCTTGCCTTCAAGTCTTCTCCAACTGGTGGCAACCTTGTGAACCAAGACCCTCCAAAAATGTCCTGTAAATTCAAGGCCGCGGCTTCCTTGATGGAGTCCATCCATCTCATAGTCGGTCTTCCTTTTCTCCTTCTGCCTTCAGCCTTTGCCAGCATGACTGTCTTCTCCAGTGAATCTGGTCTTCTCATGGCGTGACCAAAATATTTATTTCCCTCAACTATACGGCTGTGAAATACTTCCTCCGGCCACTAGAGGTCTCTATGTGCCAAAAAATAGATGATCCGCTTTTAGGAATGGATGATCCTATTTCCACCCACTTCGTCTTGTACTTGGAACTCCACGATCCAATCAAGCCAGCGCTTTCCCTAGAAGCGAAAATAACAACACCGAGGCCATCATAATCTGGACATGTCATGAGAAGACAAGGCTGCCTGGTGAAGACCATCATGCTAGGGAAAATCAAAGGCAGAAGATGAAAGGGAAAACCAAATATGAGATGGATCGAGTCCATCAAGGAAGCCACAATCTTGAACTTGGGAGAGCTGAATGGAGCTGTCACGTCAAGGCATCTGGGAGGCCCTCATTCGCAGGGTTGCCATAAGCCAGAGACAACTTGAATACTTGAATAATGACAACAGGGAGCAGAAAATGAAAACAATTCATGCAACTTTTGTGGCATCCCTAAACATTGTGTCACTAGCCAGAAAATTCCAAAGGTAAATTCAGGGGCTACTGGATCAGACCAAGAGTCCATAACTCCCTGGTAACTTCCCGGTTGGATTATTGTAATGTGCTCTATGTGGGGCTCCCCTTGAAGATGGTCCGGATACTTCAGTTGGTTCAGAATAGAGCTGCCAGGGTGTTAATGGGGACCGGCAGGAATTCACATATAATGCCGTTCTTCTATTGGTTACACTGGCTGCCGATTGAGGTCCGGGCCCAATTTAAGGTGCTGGTGATGACCTACAAAGCCCTAAATGGCTTGGGTCCTGATACCTGAAGGAGCACCTTCTTCCTTATGTGCCCTCCCACCCCTTGAGATCTGAAGTGGAGGTCCCGCTCCAGGAGCCCTCCTTGAAGGAGATTAGGAGGGTGGCTACCCGGAGAAGGGTCTTCTCTGTGGTGTCGCCCCGACTATGGAATATGCTCCCCAGAGAGATTCACCTGGCACTGACATTATATTCTTTTTGGCATCAGGCGAAAAACGTTTTATTTCCCATCATTATAATGTTTAATTGATTTTACCTGGGGTTTTAGTATTTCAGTTGTCAATTGTGGTGTTTTGTTTTATCCTACTCTGTTTTTATTGTAAGGTGTCCTGAGACGCTAGTGATGCATGGGCTACAAAAGCTTTAAACAAACAAACTAAACTAAACTAAACTAAACTAAACTAAACTAAACTAAACTAAACTAAAAAGTGCAACACTCTCTTCATACAGTGGCCAAGTTGCCACTCCACAGGAAATTCCCAGGCAAGACAGGACTGCAACGTCCAAGAGCAGGTTTTCGTGGGTGCACTGGAGCTGTTCCAGAGCTCTCCTCCAGTGCCATGTTTCAGAGGCATCCATTTTGTCCCCCGCCAGCTCCCGTCCCTGTCCAGCTTTCACGCCCATCCACAGCGGTCAGGGATACAACAGTGTGGCTGACCGTGGCCTCGGCCTCCAGTGAGACATTCTTGCACGTGAGGATCTTTTCTATTCCTTCGCTGCTGCCCTTCCAAGTCTCGGTCTCCTGCTTTCTTGGCTGCAGCCTCCCTTTGAATGATGACTAAGCCCAGGCATGCGAATTCTTTCACGATTTCATTTTTTTCATTGTTAACCTGAAAATTGGTTAAATCTTCTGCAGTTATGATTTTTGTTTTCTTAATGTTCAGCTGCAACCCTGCTTTGCACTCTCTTCCACTTTCATCAGGGGTCATTTTAATTCATTGTTGCTTCCTGCCAGTTATATGGGATCCTTATCTATTAAATTCTTGATGTATCATCTGTCAATTTTCACTCCTTCCTCCAATCCTAATCCATCTTTTATGTTCTGTATAGAGTCTGAACAGATAGAGGGATAAAATGTACTCTTGTGTAACATCTTTGCCTATGGGAAACCTTTCTGTTTCTCCATATAGAAACATCAAAACAGAGCGAGTCCGAAGGGGTCTCCTGGGCCATCTAGTCTGACCCCTGGCTCCAGCTGGCTCAACTCATGACATGCCCACCATGTGGATGTCCAGCCTATCCTTGAACACCCGCACCAATGGGTCCTCAACCACCTCTCGGGGAAGCCCATTCCATGCCCTCAGGGTCCTGACTATCAGGAAGTGCTTCCTGGCATCTAAACGGAACCTGGGTTCCCTGAGCTTTGCTCCGTTGGAGCGCGTCCTGCTTTCCTCTGCAGGGGAGAACAGGCCTCTACCCACCTCCGTGTGGCACCCCCTCACGTACCTGTGTGTTGCCAACAGATTCTGCCCTTGCAGAAGCTTCTTGTCCATGATGCAGGTGACGCATCAGGACAGTCAAGCGCTGAGCCACCCCCACTTCCTTCAGGGCCATCCAAAGCTTCCCGTGAGCCACACAGTCGAAGGCTTTGCTGTGGTCCATAAACCAGATCGATCATCTTGTGAAATTCCTGAGTGGGCTCCAGTAGCCGATGCCTGTTTGCACCTTCCTGTTCAGGATCCAGCTCGGACGTCCGGCATTTCTCCCTCCACACAGGGGGATATTCTTTGTTGCAACCCTTCGAGCATCACTTTGCTCGTGTGGGAGGCCAGTGTGATGGTCCTGTGGGGGCTGCAATCTTCTGCATCTCCTCTCTTGAGGACTGGGATATATATTGAACATTTCCACTTACATATATTGAACGATTTCCGTTGTTTCTTTGTCTACATATCCTTGTTTGGATTTGGACTGATCTGGACAGATTCAGTCTTTGAAGCTGGGAATAGTTCTATTGGTACCTCACCTAACCTGGGCGCTTTGTTCCTTCCAAGGGCAGGGCTGTATCCCTCCATTTGCTTTTATAACTGGTAGTTAAGGGGCAGCAGAACGCATTCTCCCTGTCTGCTCCCCGCATTTCAGGGGCTGCTTCCAGCTGAATGAGATTCTACAAGGGCGATCCCATGCATTTTTAGACAGAGAAAGGGCCTTCAACTCCCAGCATGCCCCTACAGTGCTGGGAATTGTGGGTCTTGTCTCAGTCTGGACATTCCTTGAGTTGTATCCGAAAAGGACAAGGAAACCAGGAAGATTTTCCTAGAAGCAACATAGGAAGAGAAAAGGAAACTTGCATCTTGACATTTATAGCAAGACTATGAGCAGCTGCAAGGCCCAAGTCACCCTCAGCAACATCGGGGTGTAGAGGCATCAGGGCTGACCGGGACGAGGCACCTGTGCTTTTTTTTATTAAGAGGAATGCTGACACCATTCATCTCCCACCTGCTCAGAATTCCCCTTTTCCCCTGAGCTTCCTGCTTTTGCCTCATGGGCTTATTTTCCCTCCCCACGTGAGCTGCTTAGCTGAACTGAGCCAGTGTGGTGTCGTGGTGAAGAGCCTGGGACCGGGACTCAGGCGATCTGGGTTCGAGTCCCCGCTCGGCCATGGAGCCCACTGGGTGACTTTGGGCCAGTCACAGACTCTCAGCCCAACCAACCTCACAGGGTTGTTGTTGTGGGGATAAGATGGAGGAGGAGATGTAAGCTGCCTTGAGCCCTTTGTACAAAGAGGCAGGATATAAATTGATTAAATACATAAATAAATAAACTGCCCCGACCAGGGAGGGCTGCTCTAGGCTTACTGGGTGCTTTGCAAACATCTCCAGCCACTCACCCTCTCTGGGTTAGAACTTCATGAGAACCTGCACCTGCCAAAGCTGATTATGCTAATTTGGCTTTTTGCATCTGGCAGGAATGGCTTATTTTTCCCTCAACAAACATGCAAACCCACCTGGAGAAGGTGGGTGAGATGAATGTTCGCAGCTACAATGTCTTGTTCTCTATTGTGATGCAAAATATTCCGGGGGGCTTGGTCCTGAATCTCAATGAAGACCCGTTAGCGTTCTAAAAAGTCTGTTCCGGTGGAGAAGAGAACTGGTAGAACTGGCGTGTTGCACAGATCTGCACAGCTGCCTGCAATTTTGCACTCCCTTGTGCGGGGGTCACGCTCGCCAGCATCGCAATGAGTGCTGGTGCACAATGAAAGCTTGTTACGCCAGTATCGGTGAGGTGGTGCATCCACCATAGACTTTTGACTTATATGAGCTTTTCCGGATGCCGAACCCCCTCCCCAGATGCTGTGCATCACCATGAAAGCTCAGAGTAAAATCTGGAGCGGCAGTAGAGTTTCTGCAGAGCTCCTTAAAGGTTCCGGCTACAACATGGAGTAGATGCACTGCCCCAGTGGGTCTCAGCCCGACCAGTCAACAGTTGCCACCAAATCCCTGATCCAAAGTGTGGTGTGTGGTTTTCTGCCTGGGCTTAGCCAGACTAGGCTCTGTGTGGCTCCTCCTTGCTCTTACCACAAATGTGGACATCTCTGGTCGACAGCCCCTTGCAAGTCGGTCTCCAAGACTGTCAACACCACCGAGCTATTTGCTGGCCCATCTTCCCCACACCTACCAATGTTAGTCATGGTGGAGAATGTGCCTTGCATGTAGAAGTCCCGAGTTCAGACATTTCTTGGGTAACTGTGCTGGATATGATCTCCCAAGATGGTGAAGAACAAGATGGTGAAGAGCTGCTGCTGGTTGGAGATGACCAGCTTCCCCCAGTCCTGGTGACCTCCAGATGGGACGGACTACAAGGCCTTCATTGTTTATGCCGGCTGGAGATGATGGAGAAGAGTTGAAGTCCAGCCCATCTGGAGGGCCCAGCATGTTAGAAGTAGCTGGAGCAGACAAGATGGGTGGCCCTGTGATGTGATTTTGTGTAAGGCAGCTTTGGATACCTGGGCTCACTTGCTGCACGACAGTGGCCCAAAATAGCATGACTCAACCCCTGGGTTCTTCACGTTTGCGGTTTACTTGCCTGCCTACTCTCCTGGAACCTTTGGTTGCTCACCATAGATGACTCAGTGATGGACAGGTCTCGGTGAAGGTGGCGGGGCCTCTAATGTCCTGAACTGGTGTTCTCCAGATGTGTTGGACTTCCATTTCCAACATTTCTAACTGTTGGTCATGGTGGTTGGAGCTGATGGGAACTGGAGTCTAACACATTGGAGGGGGCTTCAGCTTGAGAAAGGTTGCCTTAAATTCCTGTAGAATCACTGCTGGTTTGGGTGACTGGAAAGGAAAAGCCTCTGAGGATGCGGCTTCTTATGCCAAACCTGCTTTCTCCTGGATCAGATCTTCCGTCCTTCTAGTGGAAGAGCACGTGACTTGAATTCAGGAGGTCCTGGGCTCACATCCACGTTCTCCTTCAGCTGAAAAACACTCCTGCCTCAGGCACAGAGAGCCACTGTCAGAGCTTCACAGTGTCTGCTCTGGCTGGCAGCAGCTTTCCACGATCGACCACTATACCTATCTAGGCCTGCCCACCTGCCTTCCCCATTCAATCTTCTCATGCGCTCTGCATGGGGCTGCCCTGGACGAAGTCCAGAAGCCGCGGCTCATGCAGAATGTGGCAGCCAGATTAATACCCAGGGCCTGCAGGTCCAACCACACAAGTCCAGTTCTGGGCTGCCTGCGTTGTCCACCTGTGTGCCTCCGGGCCCAGCTCAAGGTGCTGGTTTTACCTTGTAGCAGCTTGCATGGCTTGGGACCGCAGCACTTCTCCCAACTTGTCCTCAGACACTAAGCTCAGCCCTGGGGCCTCCTCCTGAGTGCCAAGCCCAAGGGAGGCTCCGAAGGTAGCCACAAAGGAGAGGGCCTTCTCAGTGGGGGCCCCCATCTCTGGAACAGCCCCCTACTCTGGCCCACCTGGTGCCAGACTTGTCCTCTTTGCAGCTGCAGGTCAAGACGGCCCTTTAGGTCGAGGCCTGTCAGATATGCTTGGATGCCTGTGGGCTCCAGGGTGTTTTTACAGAGCCGTTGCTTGTCTTAGCTGTGTCAAACATGTCCCTGTTTTGGTTTTATGCTCCTTCATTGTCATGTGTTGTCTTGATGTGTGCCTCATGCCAGCTCCCCAGGGAGCTTCAGAGGTGGCTCCGGACGGGAGCAAAAAGCGGCCTCTCACGCCCCTGTCCCTGTCCCCATCCAGGCCGCTGCTGAAAAGCGAGCACCCCACCTGTGAGGAGCACGAGGAGGAGAAGATCAACATCTACTGCGTGACGTGTGCCGTGCCCACATGCTCCCTCTGCAAGGTCTTCGGGGAGCACAAGGAGTGCGAGGTGGCCCCTCTCTCGGACATCTACGCCAGGCAGAAGGTGGGCCTCGCCTGCGGCCTTTCCAGCGGCTCCTGGCGCGCTTGGGCTCTTCCACCCCTGCCTCCCCCGGCCTGGCGTCGGGGTGCAGTTCCCCTCCTTCCCAGCCCGCAGTGGCCAGGGTGACCGGGAACGCCCCAGGCTGGAGGGCCCCAGGCTGGAGAAGGCTGTTCTAGACGAGGGGAGGTAATGTCACTGGAGATGCAGGGGCATGGGACCCCCGCAGCAGGATGCTCCTCCTTGCACAGTGGCCCGCGCGGCACCCTGGAAGCCGGGCTCGGAGCTGCTTGGCTGCTAAAGCTCCATTGAAGGGGCTCTGGGAAATGTAGTCCCATTAAAGGGCTTAGATGCCTTGTCCTAAGTGAGGCCACCAAGCTGGACTGGAGTGACCTGGCGGTTATACAACAGTGCTCCTGGTGGAGCTATTTGCTGGGACCTGCACCTGGGGAAATCACCGTGGCAGGGCCATCGCCTCACCTGTCTGCCTACAGGTGAGGCTCTGGCGTTTGCAGGCACCCAGGTGGCAAGGTATTCATAGAATAGTAGAGTTGGAAGGGGCCAGGAAGGCCATCTAGTCCAGCCCCCTGCTGATGCAGGACACCATGTTACACCATCCCACTCAGATGGCTGTCCAGTTTGATTTTGGATGCCTCCAGTGTGGGAGGGCCCCCCACCTCTCCAGGCAGTTGGTCCCACTACCGTATTGCTCTGGCAGCTTTTCCTGATGTCCAGCCTGAATCTGGGTTGTCACAGCTTGACTTGATTATTTCGTGTCCTACACTCTGGCTGCAGCAAGAAGAGATCTTGTCCTTCCCCTTTGTGACAGCCCTTGTGATTCTCATAGAGGGAAATCACATCCCCCCTCAGTCTTCTCTTCTCAGGGCTGAACATGCCCAGTTCTCGCAGTCTCTCCGCATTCCTCTGTCCTTGAGCAGCTGCCAGCAGGACTCAGACATTCAGGGCTAGAAGGACAAGTGGTCTGGCTTAGTATATTGCTGCTTCACCAGCACAAGGAACCTCAGGGACAAAGAGTCAAGGCAAAACAAGCCATTTAGCTCACAAGTGAGATCAGCATCCGCATGAGGGCGAGACACGTGTGGGCTATTTCTTTGCTTTTTAAATTATCTCAAGAAATCATTTAGACTCATTTAAACACATACATTTTCAGCAGAAGTCAAAATAAGGGCAGCACAAAGGGAGTTAAATTTCATAAATCTGTTTCATAAAGTTACAGACAGGAGCTAAATGAAATCCCTCATGAAAAATCCTGAAGAAACTTAAGAATTCTTGCAGCTGAGCCTTATCAGAGATCCTGGAATCATTTAAGATAGAAACATAGAAACAGAGAGAGTCAGAAGGGGTCTCCAGGGCCATCTAGTCTGACCCCCAGCTCCAGCCTCAACCACATGCCTAAACTAAGTCCAAGTTTGGAAAGGAAAAATACAACCAATGCACGGCTTTAAAGACAACCATCCAGGGCCAAGCAGTGGAAGAAATGAAAGTTCAGAAATAATCCTCGTCTCAAGTTGAGTGTTCAGCTTTTCATTTTGTTTCAAAAACACAACAAAACAGTGTGGGGAAAAGTGCACTGTAAGTGCGGATCTGTAACACTCTTCTTCGCATGTTCACAAGGGCTTAAACCACATCCTTTCCTTAAGGTGTATTCCTATGCAGGTTTTGACAGAAAAACGCCTACAACTCCAAGCATGCTCCAGGCATATCTCTAGTTTTATCTAAATACGTTTAGATAAATTCTCTGCCTTCTCTCTGACTAAATAACCACCCAGAGAGCTTTGGCTTTGGGGCATATAGAAATAAAATAAATAATAACAGAAGTACCAGCAGCTTCAGTTACCAGATAGACAAATTCCATAATACCAGTTTCAGAAAGGGTTCTGAAGCAGGAGGGTGAGAGTCAGCCTGCCCAGTGTATTGCATTGAACTTTCGGCCTGAAGGACAGGACTCGTTTGCTCAATGTAATGAGCTCCTGACTGACCTAGAGAAACTGAGAGAGGCAGAAAAGTTGGTGGACAAGACCAAGCTGCTGCTCCAAAGCCTGCATTTCAGGGCCACCAAGGTGGTCTTCTCTCAAAAGCCACATTTTCCATATACTGGGGCAGCTAAAAACGTGCCCCCAGAGAATCCCAATGCCAAGGGGGAGAGGGGGTGTAGGGAGTGTGTGTGTGAGAGAGAGATTTGTTAGGAAAAGCAAACATTTTGGCACAAGCTGGGCCTGTACAGGAGGAACCACCTCCACCTGGACCAAAATGGAACCGAACTGCTGCCTGTTGCTGGTGGAGCAACTGATTAACTGAACACTGGGGAGAATCAGAACCAGGAAGAATCCAGTTCAGGTTGAATCTTCCCCTGGGGATGCAAATAAAAAGGGTTTCCCATCATCCAAACAGTGTTAGGGAGGGAACAGGTCAGGAGCATGTGGTGGAACATGGCAACTGGTCCAAGAAGTCCAAGTGCCACAGTGAAGGCTGGCCTATTCTGGGCGCAACTGGGGTGAGGCATTTCTGGGCCAAGATCAGAACTCTCTGAGTCGGGATGGGGCAGCTGGAGTGGCTAGTTTTATTGGAAAACCTCGATGTGGTGAGCTTAGCCTTTTGAATGGAGAGTATCTGTGTGATGTGGCCATATCTGGGCACAACCGCTACAGGAAGGTCAGGGAAAGGCGTTGCTCTGTACATCAAAGAGGACATGCTGTCGGTCAGGTTAGAAAGCCTAAAAGGGACAGATTCCTCCCCAGAACCACTGAGGTGTGAATGCCAGGCCCCAATAGCAATTTGTCATCTGGGTGACCTTGAGGTGGAAAGTGAAATCAAGGGGGAATCCAAGCAAGGATGTGTGGTAATCATGAGTGATTTCAACTGCCTCCACATGGAGCAGAGAGATGCAAAGGGGTTAAATTTCTTGAAGCCCTCGATGAATCTGTGGCCGCAATGACTCTGTCCCAGGCAGTTGTGGAAACGGCCAGAGGGGAGCTCACTCTGCATTTAATCTGAAATGGTGCCATCCAGGACCCAGTGCCAGACATGAGATTTGTTGACCCAAGCGGAAACTATGACCTTAGTGCTATCAGATTTCAAATATATTCGCATGGAAAGTTGCCAAGCAAGTAGAGTACAGTCACACCTGACTTTAACAGAGGAAACATTTCTAGAATAAGCAGACTCATACAAAGGAAGTGGGAAGGAGGAGTCAAGTCAAGACGTTTAAATCTTTCCAAAATGTGGGGAGGTTACTCAAAACCACTATAATAGAAGCTCAGCCAGAATGTGTTTACCGCAGGTTAGGATTACTGAGTCTAAGATGTCACCAGCAAGACGGAGACAAGAAAACTCCCTTTGCAAAATAGAATCTTGCCCAAAGGAGGAGAACAGAAAGGACCATAAACATGGCCGAAGGACATGAAAGCAGTCAATAAAAGATGCAAAACAACATTTTGAAGAGCATATTGCTAGCCACATCAATAAAACACTTTTTTGAATACATTCAAAGAAAGAAACCAGCTAGGCAAGCAGCTGAACTGTTAGATCATCATGGAGTACTGAAGGATGATAAGGAGATGGTGGGAAAGCTGAATGCATTCTTTTCATCTGTTTTTACTTCAGAAGATGTAGGATAGATTTTTGTGCTTGATGCTTTCTGGAAGTGAGTCTGAGGAAAAAAAACTAGAGGCAGAAGACAGAGTTCTTGAACTTATTGTCAAACTGAAAGCTAATCCATCACTGGGCACAGGAGACCCATCGTAGGATTTTAGATATGAATTTGCTGATCATCTAAGAAAAAGATGTCTGTAAGATTAGCCTGTGCACCAAAGGACTGGAGAAAGGCCAATGTAACATCTAGTTTTCAAAAAGTGATTCACAGGGGATCTGGGAAATTGCACGCCAGTTCGCTTAGTGTCTGTTCTGTATAAAGTGGTTGATTCCTCCTCATCGAGCTGGGTTGGTTCATGAGTGGTGATGCATCGATCTGACCTTCTGAATTCTCCCCTCAAGGCAGAGCTGACGGATGGGATTGGGGCTCTCGTGGCTGCGAATGACAGGATCCAAGCCTACATCGGCAGTTTGCAAGGCACGTGTAAGAATATTGAGGTAGGGCGTTGCTCCTTGTCGTTCCTTGTTCACAAGCTCCTGGGAAGGGTCAAGAAAACCGGAGGCAAAATGGGTGGCTCAGCATGCCGAGCAATCCAGCCCCCGAGTGGCTCCCAGGCAGGCAACAGGGCCGAGCGAGGCTTGGCACACCTCGCTGGCCAGTCCAAGCGGTGGCCGTGCGCCATTCCGAAGCACGCTCAGCTCATGCGCATTCTTCATGGGCCCATGAACTCATGTCGTGCTGTTTTGGAACTAGGCCAAATTGTACCCTTGCCAGGGTGAAAATGCAGAGCCCAGCTCTGCTTCTGGGCTCCTTCTAGTAGTCCCAGTAGGCATGAAAGTCACGAGTCCTGGGGTCCCACCACAAGCACATCAGGTCACGTCTTCTCAGCAGAAAAGACAGCTTCTTTGAGGGGCTTTGTCACATCACCTTCCGCATCAGGGCAGTTGCTGAGATGCACCTGGCCGTGTTGGTGGCGCTGGAGGAATTGGTGGCCCTTGCAAAGGAGGAATGTCCGGTGGACCAACTTTTCTGAAGTGGCTGGTGGTAGATATGTCCCATCTCAGCATTCCCTCTCATAGCTGGCTCGGGGACGGCGGTTGCTGGCCCTCGCAAAGGGAGTGGGTCCTCAACTGGCTTGCGCTTCCTCTCTCTGTTGTCCATGCTGATCTTCTCTGGTGGCCATTCCGGTCATGAGAACATGCCCTGAACCAGGTTGCGACAAGCTAAGGGCCCGCCCAGTCCATACAGGGCCAACCAGATGCCCCAGCTGGAAGCCCTCAACCAGCACCTGAAATCCAATACCCCTTGTGTTCCTCAGCAACTGTAACCGGAGACGATAGGTAGCCATAACGACTAAAGCCATCGATAGTCTTCTCCACCCACAATCTGCCCAATGCCCCCTCCAAAGCCATCCAGGTTGGTGGCTAGTCCTCAGCCTCGTGCTAGCAAGCCAACCGCACCGTTCAGGTCTATACTTCGTGAAGGTGCATGTTATAACACCAACTCATGTGGCTTTTCGCAACCTCAGAACTACTAACTGCTCTGTCCGACCCAGAATACCATCTCCAACCATAGGGAACATCCACAGGGAAACAACATAAATCAACCCAAGATGGTTGTGAAGTTTGTCCTTTCATCTTCCCGAAAGGCCCACCCTCTGGTTTCTTGATCTGAGTATTATGGGGGAGAAGAAATCTGAAACCACACATGCCAGGTGCTGAATGCTAAAGGCTAGGTTTTGTGTGTCATATGCCATTTGAGATGGATTTCCCACTCCATAAATTGCCAGGTTTTGTCTGAGGCCGATTTTCTGGCTTAACAAAGCCAGAAAATTGGCCAGGTAATGCTGTTCAAGTAGGGTGTGGAATTTAAGGACTCCTGATTTAAATCATTCTATTATATTATATTTCTGCATGATTAAGGAAGAAGCAAATAACTTTCTAAGTGCTCTAGAGGAAAAAAGCCGATCACTAATATTTCAGCATATATTCTGTTTGTTTTGCGTTTTGCTGTCCTACTTTCCTCAGTTGCTTGTAGATAAATGGGTTTTGTGAAAAAAAAGAAGAAGAACAGACACTTAGTAAATTAAGCAGAATAGGCTTTTTGGGAGCAGGTGGGCGGGATTCAGACACTGCTTAAATTGCTGGTGTTAATAGATTTTTGTGTACGCAAATGCTTTCCCCTAGGGAAAATTTGTCACTTGTTTATATAGATGGTGCCCATATGCATATACATTTTGGTAGGAATATATAAGCACGTGTTTAAAAAGAGCAGTTCCAGAGAGGAAGTGAACTAATGGTTTGATGTCTTGGCTTGTTCTAATTAAAGTTACAACAAACAGTAGTTCTTTGAATTGGCCATCATTGTGGGCAATTGTGCTTAGTTTAAAAGTGACGGTGCCAGTTTTCATTTCTTGCCCTGGCACATGGAGGAGGAGGAGGAGGAGAGAGGTGAGGGTATATTCTCACAATGACAAACCATTTTTTAATGGCTAAAGTGGGCTGGTCTGTCTGAAGGTGAGGTTTAAACATTCTTTTACTGGCTTTCTTTTCCGTGCAGGAAAATTGCAAAGCTCAGAAGCAAGCCCTGTGTGAGAAGTTTGACCGCATGTGCGCCATCCTGGAAGAGCGGCGCAAGATCATGCTGCAGAGAATCACCTACGAGAGGGACGAGAAGAGCCAGCACCTGAAGTCCCTCAGCAAGGCATGCAGTGACCATATCGAGTCCTCGTCCAAGCTGGTGGACACGGCCCTGCAGTCCATGGAGGAGCCCCAGATGGCTGTGTTTGTGCAGGTGAAGTCACGGGGAACTGCTCTGCTCAGCCTCTGCATCCGGACAAGAAGAAATGTGTGGTGTGCCTCTCTTGGGCTGTTCCACCTCAGAAGGAAAGTTGGGGAGATGTGCACTTGAATGTCTCCTCAGGAAAACAGCTTCCTCTGTCTGGATGGGTGACTTAAATACTGCAAACTGCCTGGAGGGCTTTGGCTACGGGTGGTATAGAAATGTGACAATGATGATGGGAACTCAGCAACTGGGGAGGAAAGAACCAAGGCATCTATGCACTAATTTTCTACATACAGGGAGGGTGGATTTGGGGACTTTGGCAGAGTTTTTTTGTGGGCAAGCATTCAAACTTGCAATTCACTGTCCTTCTGAGGTGGTGCAGTTTGTACCACGGGATTCTGCATTGCTGTTGTTGTGTTGTTGTGGTTAATGAATCTCGTTGCCAGTTCAAAGCAAGGGATAAGGAAAGAATAGCAGCTGGTCTGTTTACTGGCTCTCTAAAATCCAAGGGTTGAGTTCAGGAGCACTAAATGGATAATGCTTCTGCTATCCCATCCACGCAGAGGAAAACTGTGCATACAGCAATTCCTGGGTGAGTCATTCAGAGCAGATGAAGAATTGTGGGCATTTCCTTGGAGCAGCTGCTAAAGTTTGGTGGTCAGTCTAGCATTTCCCACCAGTCAACAACACCTGGCCATGGGCCGGGCTGCCTGGGGCTTCTGGGAGCAGCAGTCCAACCCATCCAGAGGGCACCCTGTGGGGGAAGGGGGTCACAGAGGATGGAAGCATAGATCCATGGCTGTAGCTGGCCAGTGGGTCTTCTCCAGAGATGCACGACAGCAAGGGAGGCCGCCTCATCCTGAGTCTGACCTTGGCCCATCTGGCCCAGGACTGCCAACACTTGCTGGCAGCAGTGGCTCTCCAGGGACTCAGGCAGGTGGTTTTACAGCCCTACCTGGAGATGTTGCTGGAGAGCCAACCTGGAAGCTTATCCTGCAGAACGGAGCTCTGCCACTCAAGCAGGAGTTGCCTCCAAGAGCTGTACTTCTTTACAGGGCTACTGATGACTTGACCACACATAACAGCCACATAAAGCAAGCAGGCTATGCATGGCATGTGCTAACTGTGCATTCTTTGGTTGGGCCCTTTCAGCTGACGTGGCAAAGGGCAAGTGCTTAGCCTGGCTCCATCTCTGGACAACCTGCGCTCCTGCTCAGACCCCCTCCCCCATTCTCAGCAGCCGAGCGTGGGCTTCGCAGGCAGGAAGAGTCTGGGAAAGAACCCCTGCAGGGGCATGCTGGGAGTTGTAGGCCTCTTCTCTGTCTAAATCTGACCCTTCAGTACCAGCAACAAATCTTCAGAATGGAGAGGAAGCTGTGCAGAGGCTGGGAGACCACCGAACAAGGGGAAGGGGTGCGGCCATCCGCAGAAATCCAGACTGCCAGGTTGAGGCCCAAGGTGGGCTGGATTTGGGAGGTGGTTCTGAGGTTCTGTGCCCCTTTAATGGGCAGGATGGAGCTCAGTTTGGCATGAGGCATCTTCCTATGCTTACCTCCCACAGTTCTACCAGATATTATTAGCTAGAACAGTCAAACATTTCCTGACATGAAACTGACTCATTGAAGTAGAAACAAGAAGAGGTACTGTTCATTTTTTTCATATGCTTTTAAAAATAAGTCTTGATTTTTCACTAACGTTCCCTTTGTCTCCTCTCTTTTCTCCTTCAGAATGCCAAAGTTCTCATCCAGAAGTAAGTATGATTCACCGGCTGGGTTCAGACAACACAGCAACCCACACTCAAGGGTTGAGTATGGGTTGAGTGTGGGTTGTTGTTGCAACATAGGCTGTCATGTTGGCTGGCTGGACCCAGCCACGTTCTGTTAACTGCAAACTACCTAAAGTCCACAATCCAACAAGGAACCTTGGGTTCTCTTCATTGGTTGTTTGTGGTTAACGAATCATGGTTTGTTAGCAGGCTGGGTTCGGTCAACACAATAAGCAAAATTTCAGTAACTCACATTCAACCCTTACTTAACCCTCAAGTGTGGGTTGTCGTCTTGTCTGAACCCATTCATTTTTTTGGTGCGTCTCTTCCTTGACCTTTCTTTCTCCCCTCACCAACCGCCTTCTGCAACTCGGGAGAAAGGCCCTCCACTGGGGTCTGCAGTGACTTTCTCCCCCCACCTCAGGATTGCTGAGATGACGAACGGTTGCAAACCAGAAGCGCTGGAACTGGGATACGACAACATGGATCACTACGCTGTGGATTTCAATGCTGAGGAACGAGTTCTCTACCAGCTGGATTTCATCAAAGGTGCGGAGGGCAAGAGAGGGGGGCCTCTGGCTGCCCAGATTGCAGAGCAATGCAGAAGAAGGAACCAGTGAGTCCTGGATCAAATTTGATCCAGGACCCAGTGAGTCCTGGCTCAGATCAAACCAGAACTTTCCCTGGAAGCTAGAATGATAAAACTGAAGCTGTTATACTTCAGGTACATCATGAGAAGGTAAGACTTCCTGCAGAAGAGAGTTGTGCAAGGGAGAATAGAAGGCAGAAGGAGAAAAGGAAGTCCAAATAAGAGCTGTCCAGGTGATCTTCTATGGTCAGGCGTCAACTTCAGCATTTTCTGCACCAATACAGTGAGGTCTTCGCCTGGCATGTGACTGGAAATGAACCTGCACAGGGTTCATTCCCATGAGAACAGTGGTCCTCAGTATTCCTCTGGGTGTAACTCTTCAGAGGAAGGGCTTCTTGCAACTTTTCAGGGCTACTGTTCTGAATTCCACATCCCACTCTAGAATTTTGGTGGCGCAGAAACATCCAGATACCAAAGTCCCAAATATGGGTTGAAGGTCATCCTTAGACCAAAGAGGGTATTGTAGAGCTGGGAAGGGTCCAGAAAAGGGCACCCAAGATGATCCAGGGACCAGAACAACTCCCCTCCAAGGAAAATTTACAATGTTTGGAGTCTTTTAGCTTAGGAAAAATGTGACTAAGGCAGAGAATTATACTACCGTTTTGCATGTGACCAAAGAGAGAACATTAGTTATCAGACATGTTAGAAAGTCAGTGAAGCATATAAAATTATGCATGGGGCCAAACGAAGTGGATCAGAACACATTTTCTCCGTCTCACATAATGCCAGAGCCCAAGTGGGTCCATTCCATAAAGCCAATTGGTAGGAACCTCAAGACAGAGGAATGGGGTTCTTCTTCATGCTGTACCAAGCGAGATGATTATTATTTTTATTATTATTATTATAACATGATGGAATTTGCTGCCTCGGGATGCGGTGAGGGCCACCAGCTTGGATGGATTTAAAATGGGATTGGACTCCTTCCTGGACGAGCAGAAGGCTGTCCCTTTCTACTCGTCCCAATGGCTCTGCCCTGCCTACAGTATCAGAGGCAATATTGCAATGCGCAGCAGTTGCCGGGGAGCATGGGTAGGCAGGCACCATTGCACTGATGTCCTGCTGGTGGGCTTCCCACATGCACCTCTTGGCCCCTGTGGGAGCCAAACAGGGGCTAGATCTGGCCTTCGGTCTGATCTAACATGCCCCTCTGTGTGTTCTGGGTTTCAGGGCAGCATCAGCCAACAGAGGAGCCGTATCAGATCAGAATGGGGGTCCGCCAATACAGCAGGTCACGCAGCCTGTGGGGGGACCCCCGGTGGAACACACGCGCTCGTCTTTTCACTGCCAGCTTTTCTCTCTCCGCCAGTGGAAGAGCTGGAGCCAACCGCAGAGGAAGACGGGGCCTCCGGGGAGGCTGGGGACGTCGGCGAGGGCAGGGAAGACGCCGAGGACCTTCTTGCCCTTGGGAGTGACGATTCGTTTCACGGGAGGGCTCTCCTGCCGGGCGACTCGCTCAGTGGCGCGGCCAGCTGGGTTGCGGCTCCTCAGCCTGGGACCGAAGGCCCGGCTGGCAGAGAGGGCAGCTTGTGCGGAGCCCAGCAGGTGAGCAACATGGAAGTGCCGTCCTTTGGATGCCCCCATCACCCGCTTGGCAGAGGAGTCTCCGTCCTTGTTGCCTTCTGGCATCTCACCGGACTAGTGGCAGAAACTTGCATGGGTTTCATTCATTCATTCATTCATTCATTCATTCATTCATTCATTCATTCATTCATTTATCGATTTATCGATTTATATCCTGCCTTTTTCCTACAAAGGGCTCAAGGCAGCTTACATCATTCTCCTCCTCCATCTTATCCCCACAACAACCCTGTGAGGTAGGTTGGGCTGAGAGTCTGTGACTGGCCCCAAGTCACCCAGTGGGCTCCATGGCTGAGCGGGGACTCGAACCCAGATCGCCTGAGTCCCGGTCCCCTGCTCTGAACTTCTACGCCACGCTGGCCCCCTGGGTTCTGCCTCATCAGGTACCTTGGGAGGGACGGAGTGTTTGACGTCCACATTCTCTGCATAATGCGTAAAGCAGCTGATGAAGGGGATCGTGGCCCACAGGAGTTTATTCTAGGGAAAAGACAACAGAATCATCCAACCATCGAACCGTCGGACAATAGATTGGAGGGGGCCCATGAGGCCATCGAGTCCAACCCTGCCAAGTGCAGGATGTTTGAAGTGTCACATGACTGAAGGTGCAACCCTATGCAAGTGCAGACAGAAAAATGGGCTCCAACTCCCAGCATGCCCAGCATGCAATTTGCCCCGGATCGTGCCCTCAGTTATTTCTGCTGCACTAAACCAGCCCCGCTGCTTTCCGGAAGTCATCCTTGTTCCCGTGGGCTTCAGGTTAACTGCACCAGCAGAGAAGGGTGACAGGGCTTCTCACTCTGACATCCTGCAGGGGCTTGAGGAGGAGACCCATCCCAGGTGTTTCGTTTTACATATCTTGCTGTTTGTTTTAGCTGTTTTGAATTTTTGAAATATTTTTTGGTTTTATGATATTTTAATTTTATTTTATTGCCTCATTTTGATGGATTGTTGTTGTAAACCACCCTGATAGCTTTGGCTATGGGGCAGTATAGAAATGGAAATTGATGATGATGATGATGATGATGAATGGCTGTTTCCAGGATCTTTGGCACTGCCGCTTCTGCCCAGTGCTGCTGTTCAGCTCCTGAGCACTGCTTCAAAACTGAGCAACTCACAGAGTGAAGGAGCTGCTGAACCCCTGGCATACAGAGACACACGGTTATTGCAATATTTCATTTTTCTGTGGCTGGATTTCTGTGCCAAAGTCTGGTGATTCAAAAATAAAAGACAACACAGGGTGACGCTGCACAGGGCCGCAGAGCTGAGTTGAACATGTCGTCCGGTTCTGAAGCCCATGGGCTGCCAGGGTTCTTGACTTGCTCTTTGGCTTTTCTCTTGACGTTTGCCTCTTTCTAGGGCCAGGTGGATGGAGAGATCCATCTGGCCGACTCCAGTTCGCCCGCATCCCTGCCAGATAGCGCCTTGACCAGCAGCACGCCCGGCCAAGCCACCGGGCAACCCACAGCGGAAGGAGCCTCTGGGGACGCCTTCAGCTCCATGGACAGCTCAGCGGAGCCCCAGGAAGCCAGGGGCCTGGGCGGCAGCAAGGAGTGCGAAGCCGGCCCCGCGCTCCTTCTGAATGGGGTGGCATCTTCCGCCAGCCAGGTCAGTGACGTCATGAGGCTCGTCTTCTTTGGCTTTGTCGCCATGTGCTTTCTGTATGCCTCCTTGTGATTTGACAGTGGAAATAAACTACAACCCACCAGAATGCCTCTGGGGAGCCGTATGGTGTCAGGTCACAGGAGCAAAGGGTGCACCCCACAAACTGCGGCAGCTGCCACTAATTTTCAGCCATTCCATCAGGCTTACCTGAACTGCTTCCGCTCCAGCAGGACAGCAAATGTAGGAACGGATCCTTTAGGAACTGAGCCAGCTTTTTTCCTCCTCCCTCCGCATCACCTTTTCCTTGCATGCATCAGCATGTCCTTTAGATTATCAACCTAAAGGCAGGACTGAGTTTGTATTGGTGGCAGCCACTCAGGCAGCCTTTTCAGCAGAGCAGTCAGGAAGGGGGGTGTCACGTGCTTTAAGTCACGTAGATCTAAGTGGAGAAGGGAAGGTTATCTTTGGCCACCTCTCCAATCGAAGTGTACCAACTAAAAGAACAAACGAAGAGTTCGTTTCTTTTCGTTCGTTTCTTTTAGTTTGTTTCTTTAATTCGCTGGATTAGTCCCAGGGTCCATCTACCCCTCCATCTGTTCCAGTCCACATAGTGGCTCACCATCTCCCATGGGAAATTCACAAGTTGGATGGGAGTGTTCCAATAGTGATAGACTCTTCCTGAGGATGTAGGATCTCTGATGATCTCATGGTAGGCATGTCACGAGTGGAGCCAGCAAGAGCTGGGGGTCAGACTAGATGGTCTGGGAGGCCCCTTCTGACTCGCTCTGTTTCCATGTAGCCAGCCTTTACGATCAGTCATCCACCTCTCCTCCTGCCCAAATGGGCCTCACCCCCATTGAAAGTCAAAAGCCCTCCTGTCAGCCCATTCTGTGCCTGCAAATCCCACCAATCCAACTCACTGATCTGGTGCCATCCGCGCGTGCTGGGCTGCAGCTCTGATCATCACTTGCCTGGAGGGTTCTGGATGATGGGAGCTGTAGTCCAGCACAACGGCTAGTGGCTTGGGAAAGGCTGCCATAAATTACTTCTGTGCCATGTGCAGGAAGCCTGCCCTGACTGGCCTGGCCACCAGTTTTGTTGGATGGGCCAATATTGTGTGCGAGAGAGAGGAATTGCCCTGCTTCTCTGTTTTCACACCGTGCCTGATTTTATCAAGCTCTCCCATGTCCACCCCCCCAGCGATCCAGTCATCTTTCTCCTGAAGTTAAAAAGAAGTGCTCTCTGCCTAGGAGAATCTGCAGCTATCACAAATGTGACAGTTCTTGCATGCAGAAGTGTGAAAAGCAACTATAATAAATGACCTTTTAAAACACCCACACCCACACACCCCTTCTTTCCCGGCTGAAGCCTGCCTTTCTCCAAGAGCAACCCTTTAAGGAACTTTGCCCTGGATCTCGTCCCGGCCCCTTCAGGAATGGCAGCCTTCCATGCGCACGACTCCTGTAGCACCCGGATCCCTCTGGCTGTAGTGCTCTTTGCTGGCACTAGTCTCTGCCACAGCTGTGGGGAAAGTGCAAGCAGAAAATGGTGCCTTCTCAGCCACGCACAGACTGGTGTCTCCCCCATTTCTAACCGTCGGCCTCTGCTGTCTTCATCCAGCGAGAACGGTTGCATTAGTGAATTTCTGTCTGCGGCCTAAAGGGTTCCTCTAATTGCAGACTTTTCTGCCCCACCAGGGCCAGCCCCACGTAGAGTTACCTTGGGGAGCACGTGGCGGTCATGGCTGTTGCTTCTCTCGCTCCGTTCAGGGCTGCAGCCCCGCGTAGTCGGCTCTCAATGAGACCTCTCCGTTCTCTTCCTAACCACGTCTTGGCAATAGCGCAGCCTTTCGTCTTTAAGGGATTTTTAGCTGAGCTGGGAGCTGGTGCTAAGGGAACCGGATGCTTAGTTTCCAGACACGTCCAGGTTTTCCACGTGGATTTGGGGGCCCACAGAATAGCCTCAAAGGCACATTGCCATTCAGCTGAGCTGATGCGAGCCAGACAGATCCGCCCCTGAGGCAGATCTCTGGGTTCACACAGGAGCACACCTTTCTGCTTGGCGTGGCAGCAGCAACGGAATGAATTTTGGCAGCTGCTTCCATGTTACTTTCCCAGAATGCTCCAGGAAAAGATGCTGGAAAAATTAGAGGTGGATGCTGGGAGCACCTGCTAAGCCAGTGTCACTGCCAGGGGAGAAAGGTAGACCTTTCAAATTGGTGTGGCTGTATCAAAAACTGAACCCACTTGCTTTGGCTTGGATTAAGAATGAATCTGGAAGGATTCCCCCCAGGTTAATCTTCTCTACATGGCAAAATGAATGTGCCCCTTTTCCTGGCTCTTACCAGCATGAATAATTCCTCTTGTTTGTGGCTTCCGGTCAGATTTCCCTCGCTGTGCACCGGACGTGCTTGTCTAGGGAAGCTTGGAAGGGTCTGGGGGAGACTCGAGGGCTCCCCTCCTTCCCTCAACTTTGGAAGCTGCTTTTGACTCCCTTCTGCTTTCCTAGGGCTCGGTGTCCGGCCCCGCTGGTGACAGATGGAGGAACGAGGACATCCCTGCGCCAGTGCTTAGCAGCTGCTCCAGCCCTGCCCTTTGGCTCCATGAGTAAGGAAGCTGGAGCAGGACCCGCTTCTCTCGCTCCGCACTGCCCAGTTCCACCCCTTCTGCCGGGAGCCCCTGACAAAGTGGAAGGAAGGCCAGTGGCTCAGAAGGAAAGCCCCCTGACCAGGTTCGCCTCCGCAACCCAAGGCTGCCCACTGCCGGAGCCGCAAAGGCCCAGGCCACGGTCGAGAGCAGTGCCGGGTCTTTGAGGGCCCCTGGCGGGCTTCCCCCAGTGGACCTCCTCCGCCGGCGACCGCTCCTCTCCTCACCACGGTCACCGGCTGCTCGTTCTCTTTCTCCTCTCCTCCATCATTGCCACCGCTAGCATCCCCGACGGGCAGAACAGGGGAGCCGCAGGCCCTGGGACCTGCTGGCCCTTCTTCTCGGCACCACTGCCTGGAGCACGGCAGGAGGGGCTGCAGTCGCAAACAGGAAGAGCAGAAGTGCCCAGGTAGTCCCCTCCAGGATGCCAGGCCGCTGTACCTCCGGCCAAGGGCCAAGGAGGCCTGCCGGGGGTCCCAGCTGCTCCGGGCTGCCCTGGCTGTTCTTCTCCCCTCCACCCAAGAAGTCCACGACAAGGACTGTCTGACTAGAAGGAATTATTATGTTAAAGCTCACCAGGCAGGCTGGCTTTGTAGTACCCGTGGAGAGCTGAATAGTCTGAATTCAGAAGTCCGCCGCAAGAGAAGTAAGCAAAGCCAGGAATTGGGAAAGAGGATTTCGAATGGAACGCCTCCCTTCCCTTCCGGATGGAAATAACCAGACCAGACCTTCAAGTCAGGTCCCCTCGGTGTGCCTGATGCTCCTCAGCTGGGCCACCCACTCAGCCTGAAGCCGCAATTTAGGACTGATAATGCTGACTGGCCCCCCCAGCATGGTCACCAACCTTCCCCACAGTATCCGATTTTCAGCAACCACCCGGTTTATCTCTGAACTGACTGGCCTTGGTATTACGGCTGCAGAGGCCAGCGCTTTCTCCTTGCCTGAGTCAGAATCGCTTCTCACAACTCTTGCCGCTCCGTTCTAAGATAAAGGGTCTCTCCCTCGACTGCTGCTTGTTGGCAGTTTCTGGGCTTTCACACAGTTTTTCTTCACGCACTGAAAGACAGAAATGCTTCTCCCAAGGCTTGGTTGAGATCCAGTGGGGCGTAGTGGTTAAAAGCCCAGGACTGGGACGCAGGCAACCTGGGTTCCCATCTCCAGGCACCCATGCAGTTCATGGGGTGGCTTTGGGCCAAGCTAACCTACCTCACGGGGTAGTTGTGAGAAGCAAATGGAGAGCGTGGGGCTTGGCCTTTGCCCCCTCTCCCTTTGGCCATACTCGCTGGAATATTTCCCCAGAAGGAAGCTGACCCTGGCTGAAAAAGGTCCAGCATTGTCTGACCTAGGCTGCAGTGTCCGAAGGAGAGCACTGAGGGGTGTTTCAGAGCAGCCAGAGCAGCAGGCGCCTGCAGAAGTGAGCCAAGAGAGGGAGAGTCCCGCCATTAGTCCAACGATGCCCTTCTCCCCGCTGCCATGGGTCTGTGGGCCACCTGTGGGGCATTCCCTTGAAAACCACTTACTCCTCCTCCTCCTCCTCATGGCCAGTTTTTCCTTCTGCCTTGAGATCCGATACATCCCAGTACCTGCCTCCCTTCTCCTCCAGTTGCAGGTGCCCCCCACCCCCAGGGAATAAGTCTGAAGGCCAGCAGGACACGAGCCAGCCCCTGCCGAACTCCGGATCTTCATTCACTTCTAGGGTAGGCTTTCTGCACCTATTTAAAACTCCCATTTGATCCAGTGGGATTTAAAAGTGCTAAATTTGGGCTGGATCAGGCGGCAAGTACTGCAACAGTCACAGTGACAGCAGCATCCAAACCCTTCTGCTCCCAGGTACAGGATAAAAACCGCCCATCTGCTCCAGGTGCCTTTGTCTTGTTCACCTTGCAGAGGAACAAGTAATCTCAAGTCAGGTTTGGGTGATCACTGCAGCCCTTCGCGGTTTATTGCTGGCTGCAGGAATCTCATGCTGCTCAGAGCAGGCAAAGGTGGCTTATGGGAGGGCTAAATAACCTTTGCATAACCCTCAAAAAGCCCATGGGTTGTTTAAACTTCCCATAAGCCACCCCTACCAGCTTCCTGCAACATGATACACCATGGAGACCATCTGTTCTTGGATGAATATTCAGAACTGCCCTTTGCACACGTGGCAAGCCATCATGGCTTAAATAAGCCACGATGGGCTGCAAAACTGGTCAATGCAATACTTTGTATCCATTACATAGGGGAAGAAGTTGATTCTCTCCACTTGAACCTGAAGAACAAGCTGATTTCCTTCCTTCCTTCCTTCCTTCCTTCCTTCCCTCCCTCCCTCCCTCCCTCCCTCCCTTCCTTCCTTCCTTTTGCTTTCTCTTTGGAAAACTTACCTGTATTCAGTTTGTCTTTTTGTGGAATCTTATTAAAATGCCAAATGCCACTAAATCAAAATGCCCATACCTAATTTGCATTAAGATTATCAAGAAAGGAAGTTAGCTGATTGTTTGAGCTTCTTCAAAGCTTCTAGTGTAAAAAATTGGAAAAACGTGCTTCTGTGTGGAAAGAAGGAAATAAAGAGGGATCTAAATTAAGGGCTCTCCATCTCTCCATCTCTCCATCCATCCGTCTGAACAACCCTTCACCCATTAGCATGTCTGTGCCTGGCAAGTGAAAGCATCACCCTTGTGCATCCGATCAGCACCGCCGGCAAATTGCCTGCGCTTTGTTCCACAATCAAACAGTTTTTCAATTGCTTTTAAAACTAAGGTCCAATTGGCATGTTAAATTATGCATTGACTGCTGAAGTGGTTGTATGATTTGTATTTATTTAGCTAGATTGATAGTGGGTGCCATCCTGAAAGCTTGAGATGGGAAACAAGGACAGCAGAACAAAATCTTGTCCAATTCATTTGCTTACCTTTCCCTGCTATAACTCTTTGGGGAGGACTCCGGAACTGTAATTAGCTAAATGGGAAGTTGTTTCCAAGCCATTTGGGGCCCCATAGGCAACAAAGTTTGGTTTCTTCTTAAATCTTTTTTTTTTTTTGGCCTGGGAATAGGGATACCATCTGATAGCCAATAGATGTGGCTGTGTGAGGTCATCACTGAAGGCAAACAAAGATTATTCTGAGGGAGGGTCACGCTCAGGACCATGTTACTCTCACTCTGAGTGGGCACTCCATACGGTCACCTTTTTGCTTAAGTACAGCCCATTGGCTCATTGATTCGATGGCTAACAATAAGCTTATTGTTAGGGAACGGACTGACCTGTGTTCAAGACATAAAAGAAGAGACTGTTTTCACAAAGCTCTTTCTCTAGGCAAAGAGAAATTAGGTGCAATGCTTCCTGGAAAGTCAGTCTGGAGAAAAGATGGGGCAAGGGCATGTTTCAAGGGCTGTTGAATCCCCCACACTCTCACTGGGACTGCCTAGTTTGCAAGAGTCACCCATGCGCCAAAATGCACCTCCTTCACGTTTGCACCTGGGGCATGTGCTCGGTGTTACAATGATGACAACACAATATCAATTCATAATAATGTGAATCAACCCTTTCATGCTGAAGGTTTGGGCTGGGTTTTCGAAACACGTACTCCCCAGGGATGGGGATTTTGCCACACGCCTAAAATGTGCCACAGTTGTCATTGTGAGTGATGATGTGATGCCAGGATAACAGCAACAAGGAGCCACGGGTCTATTACAAATATATCACAGATGTAGATTAGAGTCAAGCACAGCCTTGGCCCCATGAGACCTGAGCAAGTCTGGTTGGGCTGGCTGTATTTTGGCCAATCTGCCTTTCATGGCCAACTCTAATGTTACAGGTAGCCATGGAAGGGGTTTCGTTTGTAGATTTGCAGGATGTGTTTCAAAATTTCATGGCAGTGAAATAGCTCTGCCCAGCTGCAGAAGGACCTACCAATTTCCATGTGGTGTTTCACAGAATCTGCTCCAGGAATTGTGCCAGTTTTGATTTTTAGTGCTCATAAACAGATGTACTGTGTTCTTAAGGTATCCATGTATTCCTGAATTGTTGCCCCTTTCAAGCCAAACAACCTCTTCACGTTGCATCAAACAGGTATGATAACCCTTCCTCCGAGACCTGGTAAAAATGGTGAAAGCTTATTCTACCATTTGCTCATTTTCTTTTGAATCCATGATGCAGTGGAACAGCAATGCAACTTGCACACACAGGAATAGCTGTTTCTGAAGCCATAAGACTACAAAACCCATGACTCTGTACCCCTGGCTGCTGCAGTAAACATGCATAGCAGTATTCAGGGCCTCAGCTTCCCTCCCTCCCCACTTTCACTTGCAGCAAGTTTCAGAAAGTCTGTGTGAGGGGGTGAGGGACGGAAGGAGGAATTCTAGAAAATACCAAGGGCAGTATATGAATTCATTATGGAAGGATTCACTTGGACTAGGCTGAACCCCAGACCGGAAGTGGCCCAATCCAGGATCATGTATGCCCCCAAACCATTCCTGGACACCCTCTCTCCTCTTTGGAGTTTCCGATGCTGATTGCTTGACGCTCCTTAAAAATAATATATAAGTATGTCCAACTATCAGCCCGCTGGTACCTTCCATTCAAAATTTGGGTTTTGTATTGGTGGAAGGCCTTTGCACAATCATAGAGTCATAGAATAGCAGAGCTGGAGGGGCCAAGATGGCCATCGAGTCCAGCCTCCTGCTCAGTGCTGGACTCCAGTTAAAGCATTCCTGATGAATAAATCCAGTGTGGGAGAGCCCCCCACCTCCCCAGGTCACTGGCTCCATTGCTGTAGTGCTCTAGCAGACAGGCAGTGTTTCCTGATGTCCAGCCAGAATCCGGCTTCTTGCAACTGAAGCCCATTATTTGGTGTCCTGTACTCCTGCGAAGAGACCCCGTCCTTCCTCTTTGTGCCAGCCTTTCAAGTACTCGCAGAATGCTCTCCTGTCTCTCCCCTCAGTCTTCTTGAGGCTAAACATGCCCAGTTCTTTCCACAGGGCTTTGTT